AGGTTTAAAAATGTATTCTTCCAACAGGTTTTGGTCCTCATTAGATACACTGGAGCCTCCTTACAGCAGCCACTCAAGAGAGCACAAGAATCAGCTGCTCAGCACAGATGGCCTTGAACTAAAGGTCAGAGAAAAGAGCATAAAAACCTTGGAAATAGTTTCAAACTGTTCCTGCAGACAGTGGTTGCTGGCTGGAGTCACCTCTCTGGATGTGTTTCCCTGCTTTGAAATGCTTCCTCAATGTCATTCCAAGCAATTTCATTTTACAAGAGGGTGTTTTTTTTTGCTGTTTGGCTTTGCTGGGTGTTCTAAGTGGGATTTCTGGTATTGCTTAAGAAAGGAAAAAAATATATTTGCTTCATTGTGAAAGGATTAGGAAGTATGGACAGGTGAATTAGCTGAGATGTTGTGCAATATTAAAGCAGCACAGACTCAATGTTATACAATAAAAACTTAATAACAAAAGCCCTCAAAACCAGACTAGGAGCCTGTTTTTTCTTGTATATCCTGATCCCCACTGGCAGGTGAGTAGATGAAAATCCACTATACTGGACACTATTCCATGCAGGAAAAACTCTGGGTAAATACCTGTTGTGGAAAGCCCCTTTCTGTTTATCCACTGATACCTGAGCAAAGCTGAGTCTGTAATTACTGTGACATTTCTGCCTCAGTACTGCTCCCAAATCCCAGCCTGGGGCTGCACTTCGGACAGATATTACCAACACACTCATTAACACAGAGGTTCCATCAACAGAGATCCCTGGAATAACAGACACCGATCCTCAAACATCTGTGACACCCATCAACTGGTGGTGCAATCTGAGCAAAGAAACCCCTTTGGGTGCAGGGTCTTACCTGGGTGAGGCTGATCCAGGGGATCTCCAGAAGGGTCTGTTCCAACCTGAACTCTGCCATGAGGTGACCTCCACCAGGCCCTTCCTGTCCAAGCATCAGCACTCAGCTGTGTGTCCTGATCACCACGATGAGTTCCAGTAACAAGACACACCTGGGAGGCAGATCAGCCCCAGCTGCCTTTGGCAACCAGAGGCCTAATTTGGAGTGGAAATAGTGAGGTGGAATTTGAATTTCGTCATTTTTTAGGAAAAAAAAAATGGTTAAACAATGCACAACAGCAACAGTGTGTGACAGATATGTGGGGTGTTCTGAGTGGGCTCAGCTCTGGTGTTTGTTGGGAGCTGAGTCTCTGCACAGAAACAGAATATTGTGAGCCTAAAAGAAACCCTTTAGTTGATTTTAAGAAGCACCATAATAAGGGGATTTTATCCTTTTGGAAATATTATGAAACAGAATTCTTTGAGGCCCCCAGGAAGCACTGAAGAATAATTTGCACAACCCAAAAAATTAGCACAAAGATGAAAAAAAAGGCACTTTAAAGCAAGCCCTAAAGCCAGCTCCCTCAGGTGGGCTCTTTCAGGCATGCTGGGTACAACTTACAGAAAAACTCCACAGCCAAGAGACTCACAATGGCTTAAGGAAGAAAGAGCAGCTGATTATTATTGTCAAAAAGTTCAGCGTTTCTCTGTGAAATCTCTGTTTCTTTTGGCTGCAGTTCATTCCACGGAATAAAAACGTTTCTCTTTTTCCTAATTCATTTGAACTTTTGGCACTTGCACTGCAGTTCACTGGCCAGCTTTTGGTGGCTGCCCTGCTCTCTGCCAGTTCTTATTGTTGGATAGTTCAGGTCACATCATTCCACCCGAGCCAATATTAATGGCTGTGGTTGCTCCCGGTGCTCACACAGACATCTATCAAATAGATAAGCCCCTAATTCTGTGAATATCTCCTCTCCCAATCAATGGGCTTTGTTCAGACAGGATTATACAGGGAAATGAATAGAAGGAGGTTGTACAGCGAGCAGCTAAAATTAGCACTGAGGGAGCTGCAGAGCCCCACAGGTCAGGAATGAGCCACAGCCCAGCTGGGGACAGCAAACTTGCCCTTCACCTGCCTCCAGGAAAGGACAAGAGCTGAGCATATCTGGGAAAGCATTCATCTTCTCTGAAACCTGCACCTTGGCTCTGCTGCAAAGAGCGCACCGTCATACAGCCCTCCAGCAAATTAGAGGATGTGTTTCCAAGTAAATTAGGAAAACAATTTGTTTCCAAGAAGGGGATGAATTACAACTTAATTAAAACAACCTAAGGAGGCTGGAGAAGGAGGGATGAATTCAGAGCAGTCCTGAGGGAGCTCCACAGTCCTTGCTGAAAGACGACATCCAGGTGTCATACATTAGCAGCACAAGAATTTCCATCAGTAATTCCCCAGGGGGGCACAGCTCTGCTCAGGTAGATGGGTTTCACAAATATATACCTTTTTACCACAGCACACAGAAATCACTCCCTGCAAAGTCAGCTCGTCCTTAGAAACAAGAAGGGACAGAGGTTGAGTGGGAACACGGCAGCAGGCAGCTCCTGGGAGACGGGAAGTGGCAGCAGAGGGACTGGGATGTGCCCCCAGCACGGCAGGGAAGGCATCTCTGACCCCCAGCCCAGCAGCCCAGGGGGTGTCTGAGCACACCGGCCCTGCTGGAGGCAGGCAGTGCTCTTGGCAGGTGGAGTGTTACCCTTCAACAACCTACAGTCTTTCCAAGAACTTGTTTACCAACTGCTTTTCAATAGCAAAGAACATTCAATAATTAATAACCCAACTTTATGGCCGGCAATAAAAAAAGGAGTAATAATCAGCTTTCCTTGTTCTGCACATCTCAACAGTGAGGAAAGGCTGAGGGAATTGTGTTTGTGGAAAAGAAAAGGCTTTCTTTTGGGACCTTCCAGTACCTTCCTGAAGGCTGGAGAGGGACTGTGGACAAGGGCACATAGTGACAGGACAAGGGGGAATGGATTAAAACTAAAAGAGAGTGGGTTTAGATGGGATATTGGGAAGAAATTCTTCCCAGTGAGGGTGGGAAGGCCCTGGCAAAGGTTGCCCAGAGATGTCCCATCCCTGTAGGTGTTCAAGGCAAGGTTGGAAGGGGCTTGGAGCAACCTGGTCTAGTGGAAGGTGTCCCTGTCCATGCCAGGGGGTGGAACTGGATGAGCTTTCAGGTCCCTTTGAACCAAAACCATTCTGTGACTCTGTGATCTCCTTTAAATCTCACTGCAGCCAAAGGACTCAAACATCACCAGTACATTCTTGCTGCTGGATGCACTTTAAATAAAATCAGCCAGGCTCCCCAGATATCACTTCATATTTCCCTGGGATCCCAAAGCCAGAGCATTAAAATAATGAAATAAAAAATTATGAGAGGAGAACCAGCTTCCTGATGGGGAGGAATAAATCACTGTCTGTGCCTTTCTCTTGTGACTGACCCAGGGCTCAGGTCTAAACAGCAAAACCTCTGAGTGTGTTCCCAGGAGAGACTCCACCAGCTCCTAATTACATGTGCTAGAAGTGGGTGGTAACTTTACTAGGAGCTGGTAACTGAGCTGTCTGCCCACGGGACTGGAGCAATTTCCATCTCAGTCTCACTTTCTAATGCTGGATTCTGGGAAGAGTGCCTAGTCCTCGAGTGCTTTGTGTTGTGATTTGAGCACTGCTGCTTTGAATGCTCCTCAGGGTCTGATACTTTGGGAAAAGCCTGTTTTCCTTTCCCATTTCCAGTCCCACAGCCCCACAGCAGCCAGTGTCCAGCTGCTGTTGGCCTTGGACAGGTCAGTAAGGCTGGGTCAGTAAAGGTGCTCCCTCAGGCTTTGTTTCCTCTCTGCTTTAGCTCCCTGCCTTGCTCCCAAAAACATGGTGTTTTCCCATATATATCCTGAGTTGAGAAGAATATACTGAATCCTTTGTGTTTACCCTTCCAGTCCCAAACCCAACAGCGCTTTTTAAATGTAAATTACTGTGCTATATTATATCTGGATTAACTTCTAGATCTGAGGTAGAGCACCAGCCCCACTGCTCAGAAAGCTTCCCTGTTTTCTATTCTTACCCTGCCATGCCCAGAGCACACCACGTTCTGCTCTGCCTGTTTCAAAGCTCTGCTTGCCTTTGTGTCTGTGTGAATCACATAATTTCTCCCTGGATCTGTAAAAGCTCGATGCTGGGGGTTGTTGAGCTGTCCCTCTCCGTTCTGTGCCGTGTTTGTGAAGGGGTTTGTCTCAGTGTGGTCTGGGGGTGGGTTGCACTGACTGGATCTGGTTTTCAAACCCTTTAGCATGTAAATACTGCTCTGCTTCCATGAATTTCAAGGATATTTCCTGAGGGTGACCATCACCTGAGGGTGACCTCTTTGCAGTGCTCCATCACCTTTTCCTGTCACAGCTGTGGAAAATGCTCCGAGCCAGACACTGTTATACATCCAAAACCTTGTGATTCAGTCCATGCAATGTTCTGATCACCTGTTTTGACTGCTGGGCCGTGGGAGAGGCAAGGCCAGTCCTAAGGGAGAGCCTGGAAGCTTTCCAAGCTGGTGATTTCTGTTGCCTGCATCCAGTGCAGATGTTACACCGAGCTGCTGGGACCTTTCTGCTGCTGAGCCGTGAACCTGCAGAGCCCCCCAGGGCTGAGCAGCCCTTCCTGCTCCCTGTGCAGCCAAACCAAACTGCCCCTGCAGCCAACACACAGCAGAGAATTTATTGACTGCCTCTGGAATTAGGCAATTCTCCTAATTGTCTTCATTTTCCAGGACTCTGTCATTCTTTCCCTGCACCGCTGGTGGCACAGCTATTTCTGTGCCAGCGTGAGCTGCTTGGGGAAAAAAAGAAAAAAAAGCTAAAAATTGAACAGCAAATCAATCCCAGACAAGGACAGATACCTCTGAAAGATAATTGCATTCAGATATCCTGGGGAGCCCTTACAAATCCCTTTCCAGCTTCCAGGGCTCCTTTCCCTCTTGTGGCTTTGCTCTCAGAAACCTCTATTAAGCAACAAGACATTGTTAAACAGTGCCAGCAATGAGTAAAAGGACTTCTTTTTTTTTTTTTCCCCCATGATTTACCTCCCCAGTGCTCTCCAGCCACACACCAAACTCCAAAGCAAGAACCTTTTGCATTATTTCTTTTTATTTCTAAGGGTCAGAATGGTGGGGGTGGCTCTGCTTTGCCCACCTACAAAGCACATTAAAGAGCACGAGGACATGGGTGGGTTCTTCTATTGACTTGTGGGATTTTTTTCCCTTTCCTTTGCAGCCTGGGTGTTCATCCCTGTGCCATTTCCCACAATGAACTCGGGGTCTGAACTTGGATAAGTTTTAAGTAAGGGAGGTGGGAGTCAGTAATTGTGAGTTGTTTTCTACACAGAGCTCCCCGACAAGAAAGTCACCCACTATTTTTAATATATTGAACTCATGACACTCAGTATACACATTATGTGTTATTTACACATCCATTTCCATACTTACTTGAAGTCTGTGGTATCACAAATGCATCCAAAACTATTATATTTCTGCTTCAAAATCTCTTTGGTTAGGGGAAAAAAAAAGCAACTTCCCTAAGTAGGATTTATTGTCTGTTTTCAGCGAGGGGGTTGTAAGCACAGTTGTGATCCCCCAAAAATACAGTGCTAGAGTATAGTACACATTTTGTAAAAAAACCTGATTTCTGGGGGTGAACAGTCCTCTGGCAGTTTTGGGATCCCATCCAGCATTTTCAGGTTTGGCAAACTGGAGAATACACTAGAAGAGAGACAAAATTAAAATAGAAATGGAAGTAAATAACCTTGGGAAATGTTGGGAGCAAAATAGACACTGATAAAAAGCAAACAGTGGATTCAAACATATCTAAAATGGATTTGTGTTGTGTTGTTGGAAATCCTGACTTGCCATTTGTTGCAGAATTTACCTGATAAAGAGCTAATTAGAAATTCTCAGGTTTCACTCTGTTGCACAGGTTTGTATCCTCAGACTCAGTAAAGCACTTCAAGTATCTGTCTTCCAACACTGGCAGTGAAAGTAATACCAGAATAACACCAAATAATATCAGTATTTAATTGCCTTAAAACTGGCAGGAAGGGGAGAAGAAACACAATTAGTAATTATTAAAAAGTGCTTTTCTGCTTTTGTTCTCCTGGAGCCTTTGATATGCAAATAAAATATGAAATCCATCATTTTAAATTTACTTTTTGCTTCTATCTGCCTCCCTACCTTTAGAAAGCACAAACATCACCATCCCACTGCCAAAGGGATGCCTGGAAGACTAAAGGAAAAACAAGCTGGAAACTCAGAAAGGTTTTCACTAAACACTTTCTTCTAAACTTCTCCTGTCTTTTATTCCCTTTCCAGGACGAGATGGGAAGGGATTTATCTCATCCTAGACACGCTGTAAGGTTTGTCTTTAAAATATCACCAATGCCTTCTGTACATGGTCTGTAGTGAGGAAAAACACACAGGCACATGGATTTCTGGAGAGTGAGACTTAAAATAAATTATCTTCTCCTAAATTTCTTTATGTTTGCATTGGAATTTCCATTTGCAGTGTCTGAGGGAGCTCTGTTAAGTCCACACTGAGTGGGGTGTTCAAGGCAGAGCATCTTCCACACAGCTCTGCCAGGAACGGGAGAGACTCCAGAAAAATCAAATGAAAGGAACTCAATTTTCTCCTGCTTTTGCTCCCATCTTTCAAGACATCCTCCTGATTCCATCTCTGACATGTAATGTGATTTAGACTCCTTGCAGAACACACGAGGGATGCAATGAGACCGAAGAGAGTTTGAGTAATAGGTAGTTTCTATTAATAAAAGGAAATTTAATTTGTCTGCCCAGCTCACTGTCTCTAAACTTGATCAATGGACTTAGTTCAGTTCCAGAGCTGCCAGTCATGTGATTAGAAAGCCTCCTAGGCAGCTTCTGAATGTTTGGGGGCTTTTATCAGATTCTAGCTCACCAGCCAGAGCATTTTGGGTAGCTGAAACCAGGGGAAAACAAAAAGATCCTTCCAGAAAGCTTCTTGCATTTGGGATCCCATTCCTTCTAAAGCCTCTCACAAACATGTCTTTGTGTTTATCAGCTTTTGTTGGCTGTCAGACTTACAGTTGTCTGTATCTTTCTTGGAACTCGCAGGGATTCCTCTTGAGAATGAGGGATTCGAGCGGAGTGTGTCTGAAATCTGATATTCCACTTAGTGTCGTAATGTTATTTTCAGCCAGAGATAAGTGCTGAATCTGAGGGATCTTTGGCAGCTGTTTGAAGGATCTGAAGTGGTTTTTATTGACATTTAATTCTCTGCATCTGTAAAGCACAAAGTGTATGCCATCAGCATCACATCTGGGACAGAACAGACCTGTAAGCCAACACAGGGAGGGATTTTATACACTAATTTTACATTTGTGCTGTTTTTGCCTACCCATGGACATCAAGATCAGATCCCTACACTTTAAACTCTCAGCTTTCTTTTTACTGTCCAGCTGTCAGTATTACAGAGCAACAGATGGATTGTAAAATACACTTCTCATGGTCATGCTTGGCCTCTGCTTGGGTTTTGTTCCACCATGGAGGGTCCTTCAGGGTGCAACAGCTTCCTTTTTTTTGGGCACAAATCTCCCTGAACTTCACAAGACTCATTAATTATTCCCCACGAGTAAAGGGGTCATCATCTGATCTCCCCACTGAGTATTTTCAGCTTGGCATGACATGAACTCAGACTGACAATGTACTGACAGATTCTCAGTATAATACTCTCCAAAATAACATATCTGGCAGTTCTCAAGAGGAATAGCCCCAGCTATTACCTAAGTAATAATTTTGATTTCTATGATATTGCATAAAAATAGAAACAGGACATTTTGTCTACCTTGGCAACCTTATGGCACTGAGGTCTGTCAGGGAATTGTCCACCAACCACAGCTTTTCCACCCGAATTAATCTTCGGAGAATCCTCTGGAAGTTTTCCACCTGGTAAAGATCACCCAGGTCCTGGAATGAAAGGTTCAGCTCCTGGGAAAGGAAAAATAAGAGAAATCACTCACTTTTTTCCTTTTTTTTTTTTCTTTTTTCTTGCTTTCTAATAACTATTCATTAAATATTTTTAATGCCAGAATTAGTTAAAAGGTGGATCTATTTTATGATGCTGCTCTTATAACAACTGGTGGTGCCAGTTGCCAAAATTCAAAATTGTGTATCAGCCTGATAGTAATATTGATAGAATCATCATGGAATGGTTTGGGTTGGAAGGGACCTTAAAATCATCCAGTTCCAACCCCTGCCATGGGCAGGGACACCTCCCACTAAATCAGGCTGCTCAAATCAAACCCTGTCACAACAAAGGATTTTTATCTTTTGGGTCACAACCTAAACAACATTACATTCCAGTCCTTCTTCCCTTGTAAAACCCTCCTGGTTTCCAATGTCACGGTGCCAAGCTGAGCTTTAGAAACCTGCTCACTGCAGGGAGCAGCCCCCACATTATTATTTGGCTTATTTACAACTAGAGCCCAAAATGTTAATGAGAAAGTTTTACAGCACAGTTTTCCCAGTTCTCTTGCAGCCTCTTTTCCCATTTCTCTGTGTCAGTTACTTGTTTTCTTTTTTTCAAAGGGCATTCTTCTCTTCTGAAAAACAGCTCCTCTTCTGAGGGCCCTGGTCAGAGAAAAAGATTTACAAGGGTGGCTGTGATGGGGAACTGGCACTGAGTTACCTGCTGAAAGATTATACATGTGGCTGGGAAGAGATCTGTAATGAAGAAATATATATAATATTACAGGTGTGTAGGTTTCCAGGCATCTAAGATATAAATTAATGGGAAGATTTTTTTCTACCATTTCCTGGCCCATAATTCAGCAAGCAATCTGAGGTGCTGCTGATTTGGTAGGTGGTTGGTAAATGACAGTTCTTCTACGGGTCAGAATAAAATCAAGCTGTTTCTAAATGGAAGTTCAAAAGGATCTGAGCTCAAAAATCCTGTTTCTATAAGTTCCTTCACGTGCTCTGAGTTGGCCTTTAACTGTTCTGAGAAGGGGAGATGTTTGCAACTTGCACTGACAACTGCAATGGGGTCAAGGACTCAAAACCTCATTTGTATTAAGAATGACACACCCCAAACACTTCAATTCTTAAGGTTTACTGGAATGTCTAGAGCTATGGACATCATCAAATTCCTAATTAAAGCAAGGACAGGGCGGAAATTTTCCACTGTTCAGTCCCAAACGTGCAAATACTGGATTTTGAAATCCATCTTTCAATGTCTACTCTTGAGTGTTTCTGTAGATTGTAATGGAGCCAATTCAGCCTTAAAACACAATGTGTGTGCCACTGTTTGCAGCACTGGATTCCCCTCTTGGCTTCTTGTTTGGCATATGGCTACTGCATTCTGAGCAACATTTAATTGCTGATGAACTTTTGAGAGAAGTAATCATCACCATAATAATACTAAATATTTTCAATTTACCGTTCTGGCAGTTGTTTCCCATTTTTACAATGATAAAAGATAACTTTTTAGTGATTAAAAAAAAAAGCAAATATGTACAATATGGGATAAAATCCTGCCCCTTTTCAAAGAGAATGGCAAACTCCATGATTTCAGGTCATAACATTGAGGCATGTAGGTATTGAGTAAATAGAGTTAAGGCTCCAGTGTGAAATGTGTCTTTTTGATGTTCACCTTCTCTCACTCGGGGACAAAGGAGCTGATTTCCTCGAACATCGTGTTCCTCTATGTCACACCAGCCAAGGTACTTGAAGGAGTCAGAGGGAAGCTTAAGAAAAAAAAAAGCAAAATAAAGACATGAAAGAATCAGTAAAAGTTCTTCAGCTTCTGACACTGTATTCTCTCATATTTTTGGCCTTATTGCAGTAAAAATCCCTCCAGTTAGAGCCACGTCCAGAAGCTGGTCAATGCTGTGGGAATTCATAATTAAGCGTAGTTTGCCACAGCTCCTTCTGCTTTACTTCTACAAACTGACTCAAATATTGGAGAAGCCTTTCCAGGGCTTGTTATCCCCTTGCCCATCACCTGCAGTTTGGTGCCCAGTGCTCAGAGGCCGAGCCCAACCCCTTTCCCCAGCTGACACCGCAGCACAGAATCTTATTTATTGGAAGATGAGAGGAGGTGACAGGGTCAGCCCCAAAGCTGAGGAAGAGATTTCTGCCTTAGCTATTCTTTGTCAGGGCCCTCTTCCATAAACCTATAAAGCCAAACACTTACTGGGGGAGGCAGCCCAGGGTCACAGCTCGGCCTGACGATTCCTCTGCCTTGTGATAAACCCCCTGGAATTGGGGGGGTGTCTCTCAGGATGGAGCAGCAGGATAAATAGGATTCACAGAACTTTTCGTTGCTTGTGGTCAGACCTGAGGAACTGAGAGAGATGTTAAAGCAGTAATTGGTTCTGTTCAGAGAAATGCAAATTGTTTAATAATTCCAGAGAATACTGAGTAGCCCGGGTAAGACTTGGCCACGTGGTGCTGAGGTGAAACCATCGACAATCTCCTCACCTCTCACCTGAGCAGTGTTTACATACATGGAGGCTTTCACAGATGAGTCCAAACATCAGAATGAGGAATTTACATCGACAGTTTGATAGAAAAATTCAGGAGAAAATGAAGGACTGAACTTGTTCAGCAGCAGTGATGTGTCCCCTTCTGCCCTGTACAGCCCTGCTTTGATGGATCCAGGTTGGATGAAAAGATACCTCAGATATTTATTTTAATCCCTTTGTATATGTATTTTGATTTGTTATTTTACTAATACTATATTGGCATATTTATTTTAATCTCTTGAAAATATTTTAGGGGAGTTTCAAGGATCCAGAGAAAAGTTGAAATTTCTTCAATAGTCTTCAAATCACAGAATCATCAAGGCTGGAAAAGACCTCCTAGATCATCAAGCCCAACCTTCAACCTGAAGTGATGTGTTTTTGTGTTTTGCTACTCCATTGCCTTAGAACACTTCTAAAAGCCCATTTTATACACCCTAAATGATGCAATTCCTCCAACTGTGCTTCAGAGGGGCTGAAGAATTTGCAGACTGGCAGCTTTTGCCACAGAATCCTTGAAAAAAAATGATTTAATTGAGTAAGTGTGTGCACACAGCACTGTAATTTGACTTTCACTGTACAGGCTGGGTGAGCTCTTGCCAGAAAGTATCAGCTGTCAGTGAGTATTGTTAGAACAACTCGAGTTGGGAATGGAGATAAAAATGCAGCTTTGAAATGGTTTGGGGAGCAAGGCAAAGAAAGTTTCCTGCTGAGTGTAACAGAGAAATTAAACAGAACATCAGTTAAAAGGTGCAATTACAGGTTATTGAGGAGACAAGTGCTGTTGACCTCACTATGGTTGTGTTGACTTTTTTAAGCACCAGCAAAGCCCAGTATTCCACTTGCTGGCTTTGGCCCAGAAGTGCTCCCAGTGCATGCAGATCTCCTCCTCCCTTGATGCTTTGTGGTTGTTTTTAATGGGATCAAACCAGCCCCAATAAACCATAGGTGACTTCAGGGAAGCGGAGTGAGCTCAGCATTTGGGAAATTAACAGCTATTTTATGTTTTCCGAAGCCATCTCGAGGCAAACAGAGCATTTTCCTGTGTGTGTGTTCCAGAGCAGCAGGTTCACACACACAGCAGCCCTGTGAAAAGGGGATTTACACTGGCTCAGTATTAAAAAAAAACAACAAACAGGAAATAAAAAAGCGCTAGGAATCCTTGTTTAGCCCTATCTTGGTATTTGCTCCGCTTCTGCTTCCTTGTGTGGTAAATGAGGTCACACCAAAGAGATGTGGAGAAGTTCTTTTATATTTAAGAAAAAGGTCTGTTATTTCTCTCAGTGTGGAAGCGATTTTTTAGGATGCATTCAAATGACTATTTATAACTGCAAGACGTTTCAAAACCTACCTTCTTCTCAGCCAGATACCTCCTCCTCTGTTGAGACAGGAATAAGCACTCCCAGTGCCTCGAAATGTGGGATGAAACATTTTAGCTCAGCCATTTAACACGGTCCCTATTCTGATCTCCCGGCAGAAACCCACTCACAAAACTCTGTATCATGGTAGAAAATGAAAGCCAGAATCAACTGGCTTCCCCAATCAGGTGGGGAGTGAGATTTCCATGGGAAAGAGTGACAGAAGGAAGCATTTTTCATCTCAAAAGTGCCTGAGTTTAACAAGCACCAGCTGGACCCCGACATTCTGTCACAGGAGATTTTTCTGGAGGAGCAAGTGCCACACCGCTTTTCTCTGCCTTGCTTTGTTTCCCTTCCTGTTTTGCTGCAAAACTGATGCAAGAGAAATGGCAGGATGCAATTCCAAGCAATTACAGATCACACAATACATGAAAGGAACAAAATTTCCTGCCTTGATTGTGGGGCCCTTGGGCTGGATATGAATCTCCAATGACACCTCTGGGAGCTGCACACTAGATTATGTCAAGCATTAAGGGGAAAAAAAAAATTAGATTCATGATGTCTGTCCAGGCTGAGTCATTTCCTCTCACTTCGCCTGCAGTGAGGAATTGGTGGTTATCATAAATCAGAGACCTAAATTCTTATGAGAGAAGAATTAATTTCACTAATGGAAACCCTCTGTGGCAACAGCATTCCTCCAGCCTCTCTCCTTCTGGGGTGGGGGAGCAGTACCTGTGATGTGTTTTGAGTAGAGATACTTGACCATATTTTAAGAATTCTATAAAAGAAGATTTGAAAGGAAACCTAAAACAATAATGGGGTTAAAAAAATCCTGTGTGTGACCAACTTCTAATTTCTGAGGGTGGCCCTCAATGTCGTTCCTACCACAGCTACAGCTTTGCCACTGATATCAAAGCCGGGTACAAAATTTCAGAGCACTCCAGCCAAAATCAAACATCTAAACCCTCCACCTGGCTCAGGTATGATTTCCCCTCCCCTCACTGCAGTTGCCAGGCTGGAAATTCAGGCTTGGAAAATTTTTTTGCCTCTCTCTCAAGTCAGTGGAGATGAGTGGGAATGTCCAAGATATTCACTTACTCAAGCCAGCCTCGGTGCTTTTTATTTTCAGCTGGAATGACTCACCATCCACAGGATCCCACAGGCTGCCCTGAGAGCAGGCACAGCTCCAGGGCATCTAAAGTTTGATGAGGAGGATCCCACCTGAAGTGCCTACAGGATGTTTTAAAGTAGAAGGACCTCTGACCCCTTCAAACAAGCTCAGGGGAAGTTTCTGTTCCAAGTAGCAGCATTGAAATATATAAACCAGCCATTAGAACTAAATAATTAAACAAAAAAACAATAAAAAAATTGGTGCTAAACAGGCCCTAAGCAGCACCTTGAAGTCTGGAGCTGACTGGAGGTGAGTGAAAGGTGCTCATGACTAACCCTGTGTGTTTTCTGTATTCTCCTCAGGGCAAGTCCCAGTGGGGAATTAAGGGGCTGAAATGTTTTGCAAAGTGGTAGGAGCGAGGGCAGAACAGCTACTGCATTTTTCAGCACATGACTGATGAGATATGAGGCCGTATCTTGGCAAATCATGCCCTGCCACAGAGCTCCCTGATCCAAGTCCCACTTTATCGAGACGTCACTGTCAGTCATGAAACCATGAAATGCTTCTCCTCCCACTGACCACGTTTTTACAGACTCCAAAACGCTCCAAGTTTCCTTAATGCAGTGCTAGTGCATTTGAGCCCAGCTGACTTTGTGGGTAGAATACATTTAAAAGCCCATGAAATGCTTTGAAGAGCTATAGCTGAGCTGCTTCTGAAACTACACCTGGGAAAGAAAGACGTTCTGAGGGAAAAACTGAGGGAAAAATCCCTCCTGTGTATATTTTAGACATTCAGCTGCTGAGAAAGGACTGTCAGTCAAAAGACTCCTTTCTCCTGATAAAAAGGCAGCCCTGATAAACAAACACCTGAGACTCCCCAGCACAGGTCCAGCTTTGCCTGGCAGAAAATGGAAAGCTCAGTGGAAGAGGAGGAGAGATAAAGAAGGTTATAAGTGAACTCTTGCAGTTGGGATTTGAAAGGCTTTTAGTCCCAGTGTTTTCAGCAGTTTTGGGGTCTGGTCCAGCTTTCCACAGTCTTATTCCCAGCTGCTTTTCGTGAATCAGCAGGCTCGAGCAGGCTTAGCTTTCACTGAACGGTGTCTACTTTCCCCATAGACCTGAAATGCTCTTGATGAAAGATCTGGGAACGAGCAGTAGGGCTGTTCCTACTGACTCTTCACATATCCAGAGTCAGAATTCCTATGGTGCTCCCTACAGCTTCACATCCCACCAAATCCCAGGCCATATCTGATGGGAAGGTCCCTGCTCCCAGGAGGTTCATCTCAGTGAAGTCTGGTCAGGTTGGTAAGTGCTCCAAGTTCCTTCAGCCCTGCTACAGTGGAAGTGAAAAACGTGGACCATTCCAAAGGAACCAAACCAAACATGTTTTAAGATGATCTTTCAGAAAAAGGAAAAAGAAAACCAAAGCTAAGAAACTAAGAAAAGGGTGATACACCCCATTATTTATGCTGTCCCAGTCAGTGGCACAAGCCAAGGTCCCTCCACATAAATGAACTGCAGGGTTAACTTACACACACAAATCCTGGAGGTATTTAAAACACATCAATCTCACAATTTGGGCTGTCCTTCGTTCCAAATGCACCCAATTTACTGCTCAGGAGCAGCTTTGCTTGTATGCAAACATTTATTATGGGAACTCTCTGAACTTAGAATAGCTGAGGATGTGGACACAGTGTTTCCATGCTCTATTGCCTTTCCATTACTTTTATAGGAGTTTTATGAGAAATTACACAACATTTTGAAGCAGCTCTTTTGAGCATAATTTAGTGACAAACACACCTGTAAGTTATGGCTACAATGCACCCTTGCTGTTAGCTCTAGCATCAATTATCTCGCTTTATGCATCGTAAAACTGCCCCCCACAAGACATAATTAACATAATTAGGTCCTATCACCGTAATTATACATACTTAGAATATTAACTAAGATTTTCTTTGTGGGTACAAACTCCACATCTCAATCCATGTGCCTTTCACACATTTTTACAACAAATCAGACGTTTCTGATGGGACAGCTTTTGCCTTTCAGCAAAAACATGGCACCAAAAAAAAAAAAAATTCCCCCGTTTGAATTCTTGCTTTTGCTGCACAACAATATCTCCATTAGCAATACAGGCTGGTACATTTTAAAAAGACACTCAATCCTGTAACATTATCTTTGTTGTCAAAGCATGTCAAGCTGTGCAATGACTACAGGAACGGCTCTCCTTTCACCCTCCTACCTTTCAGACATGTCTCGCTGGTGCACAAAGTCCTCACATCTTGCACAGTGCTATTTGTCTACAGTCAAAGCTTATCTTCCCATCTCTGCCCCTGCATGGGGAGGGAGTTCCACAGCCTCTGGAGAGGGGGAACCTGCAAGGATCCAGGCTGGGGCTGGGTGGATTCACCGTCTCCAAGGAAACGCTGTCACCTCGCAACGCAGTCACGTTAGGAGCTATTGTTACCAATCTCTTAAGTACATCAAACAAATTCCTGGGCTGGTGGAGCTGGTATCAATGAACTGTCTTTCCAGAAGGTGCCTAAAGATAGGCTGGTGATACCTGTAGAGAGATACGTGATCGTCCGGACGAATCTCTGATGTGCTCACTGCGGAGGCTTCACTTTCCTGAATCGCTTTCACAGTTTTGCCCACTCGAAGTTAATATTTTCTTTGCCTCAAAGACTTCCTGCTTCATTAATGGCTTGTTAAATGCCTTATTAATTTATCAAAGAAACTTTGGATGAAAAGAAACTACTTAAAGAGCCTCATGTTTTATGTAACGTCCATGAAAGTTCTTCATGGGCTGCTCTTCACTCTGTTGAGGGTTCTTGCCTTGTTTGAACGTGCTCAGCCATTTTAGAAACAACCTCCCAGGCTTCTTTCTTCGAGTTTGCAGCTGAGAATGAAAACAAGAGACTCTTCTCTTGGTGGGAACCAACAGGTCAGTTTTGTGTCTGTTTTTATGTTATATTTTTCTTAAAACATTAAAGCTGTAAGTTTTGAGAGCCAGTCCAGTGAAGCTATTGCCTTGAAAACGTGTTTGATACGATGTTTGTTTGGCTCACCCGGACAAAGTGCAGGTGTTGGCAGGGTGCCACTGATGGAACTGCAGCCCAGGGTTATTCTGGGCACTGGTTAGCTCCTGCTGAAGTTTACAGATGGTTTTTAAACTCCAGCAGTTGTTATGGGAGCCAGGTTTTGGTGTAAGGTTATAATGGAGCACTCAATCACACCCTATTGATCGGCATCTCCCACACCACAGGCACAGCTCCTGCCTCATTCGAGCTCCTGGACTCAGCACTGAAAGAAGAGGGATAAATAAGTTAAAATCAATGTGGAAAAAAGTACACAATCCGCTCTGCCTGGGGATATTCATCTGGAAATACCATATAATCAACCCCTCGATGGTTCTGACTTCCTACCTTTCAGTTTCTTCACAGAAGAATTATTCCTTATTCTCCCTTTCCCTCATATTTCCCTTTTCTCTTCTTCTTGGTTGTTACAAAGGCTGATCAATAAAAGGTTTTTCTGGGCAGAAAGGCATGTGCTTTCCCCAACAGTGACTGGAGGCTCCAAAACGTTCCCTTAGAAATTTCTGCAGGCAAACTTCGCCGTACCAGGAAAGTAGAGGAGAAATAATGGTTATGAGAAAATTTCAGCTCCTGTGCAAAGGTATTTTGTGGTTCCAAATGTTGAATTGACAGATGGTTATGTGAAATTTAACAAAGTAGTCATTCCACACAGGTTGCATTAAAATTTTATGTGGTAAGAGCCGAGTTTATTACAGGGTGGGCAGAGAATGGAGTATTAGGGATTCATCAGGTCACTTGAACGTATCCTTTCTCTGCCTGCTAAGAATAAAAAAAAATTAATATCTAAATCAAACAGGACTGTAATTTGGGGCCTTTCTACTTACCATTTGTCCTGTCTGCACAAAATGAAAGGAATTGGTCCCCATCACAGCCTAATGGGCTTCAGATCTTCTGTGGCAAATGCAATCCTCATAAAGCCCATGAAAAATCATCTCTGTGCTATTGCAGGGAAATGACATATTTTACATGGTGGAGGCCTTTCCATTACAAACACTATTTTTCAGATCTTTACAACCTGCCCATAAAAATGACAAGAAATTCAGCAGCCTGCCCCAGCTCTGCAAGGAAGAGGGTTTTTTCCCACTTTATCCAATTTTGACCAGTAATTTTGTCTCTGAAACGGCTGAGCAGGGCGAATGCAGGGTGGGCATCAGTCTCAGCCGTGTGTGTGTCACATCTGCATTCGATCAGATGCTTCCCTGGCTGTCCTACAGGTGCATGAAATATGTCTGCACTGGCCAGAACAGGGCTCATCCTGAGGGCTGACTAATGCCAGAAACAATCCCAATTATCCTGACTGCTGTAGGCCACAAGAGGCCCTGTTGGTCTGGGCACCACAGAAAGCCAGGAAAGCAGAGTTTGCTCCAGAGGGTTTGGGCTTTAATTGAACAGAGCAGACAGACAAAAGAGCAGGAAGAAAGGAAATAATGTTATCCCTCCTCCTTTTCTGCAGAAATAACTGAAATGCTCAGACCATGAAATCCTGGCACCCTGGTAATAGGCAGCAGAAATCGTGTTCCTGTCAGCAGGGTCAGCAATCACAAAGCATTCACAGGGCCTGACATCGCTGAGACCAGACTAGAGGAACAGCCTGGCTTTGAAGTCTGCATTCAAACAGCTGAGTTTCTCTGAGCTGACATTTCGTTAATCATCATTAAAGAACACTTAAAAATCATTTCTGTGTGATAACATTTTTCTCATTCGGGGATGCAGCAGCTTGCAAAAATTAGTTTGTTGGTGCAACTTCATGTTCTTTACATAAAACACTTAATTTGCCTAGGTGATATCAAACCATTAACCAAAATCAGATCTAAAAACATTTCAGCAGCAGCAGCAGTTAACTTCTCTGTTGATCTTACCTGGTTTGACCATATCCAGCAGTCCATGGTATTGGAGTTGGATGAATCAGTTAGAGGGAGAATTTCTTTGACTGTTTCTTTAGTACAATCTGCATGGACAGTCCCAGGAAGCACTGGAAAAGGAACACAGCGTTAAATGCACAGATGCTCATCTGTGCCTGGGCAGAGAAGCGGCCACAACTCACACAAACCAACTGGACATTTTGCTGAGTTACCCAGGCAACACATTTCTTTTTGTCCTGCCCATTCAGGATTCCACTCAACCCTTCAGCTCCCACTGGAAGGACTTGGAGAGCATTCCCAGGGAAAAGCCAAGTACAACAGGATAAAGCCTTGGAGAGAAGGAGAGCAGAGTTAGTGAAACTTTTCATCAGGGTCACCAGACAAAAAGGAATCAACAACAAGCCACATAAATTATTGAAGTGAAAACTATATATGTCTGGTTTTCTGAGGTGTGACAAACCCAGGGATTCCAAGAGGGTTGGAGGGGCTGTAACCAAGCAACAAGTATTGAAATTTAGTTCTCTCTTCTGGAAAAACAAGGGGCTTGCAAGTCATAGTGACAACGTCTGGCAGCGAAAATCGAGCTTTTCCCTGATTTTATAGTCTTTGGCTCAAGCCATAAGAGGAGATGTTTATGGAATGGGGAAGGGAATTTTTATTTGGTTTAGGAGAGACTTATTTCAGTATCAAATCTGGATTTTCTAACCAAATGTAGGTCAACAATTTCTAGGAGAGTTGGACTTTATCTCACACTACGGAAAGATCACATATAAGTAACGTTTGGAGATATTTTTTGTTTTAAGGTTTCTTTTCCAAAAAACATTGGGCATAACTTCCCTTCTCTTGCATTTGGCAACCTGAAAGAGAAAGCCTAATCATACCCCAAGTATTCTATACCTCACTGAGATATATTTTCCCTTTTACCTTCAAACACAGCTTTTTATACTGAATGAATTTATTGCATCCTGAAGCACAGGTGCCCATAGGAAGGTCATGCTTAACCCTGTACCCTCACAAGTAATGCCACTGAATTCAGCTGGAGCAGAATCCAGCTCATATGTGCACGTGGAAAAATCCCAAAGGTACCTGCCAGGTGTCTGCCAGACTTCTCCCAGGAGACTGAGCTGAGTGTTCCTTCACACAAGTGATGGTTTAGAGCTCAGTGATGGTGATAGGCAAAGCCCCATCCATTTTAAAGAGTCTGCTGTCAGTCCCCACTTGGCCAGGTGCCATTTCTGTCTAACCCTCAAAATTTAAAACCCCTCACCCAAAGCTGCCAAAACAAACAGGAGCAGGCAGTTGATGGAGAACTCTGCTGTGGGGTCAGTCTCATTTCCTCCCTCCACGTCCTTATTATGGATCTCATCTTTCATCTTTTCACGACTTAATTGTTAGCAATTCCCAATGGAATACAACATTCATTAAGTACTTCCTAATTTATCAAACACGGGTTTCAGCAGGTAATTTTAATCATAGGAAAATCATTCTGAATTCATTTTGATGCACAATTTCCTGTTGAAGCCTTGTGAGCCTCCTTTTCCCCTGTGCTGCTGGAAGCAGCATCTCTGGTTATTCTCCTCCCTAACTTCCATCATTGCAGATGCCACAATATTTCCATAATTTTTTGCATTTATTTATGAAGCTGCTGCCAACTGCTGCAGAGTTATGTTTCCTCTTTTTGTGGAGAATTGATGACCTGAATTACATTGAAAAAATTGTTTCACTTCATCCATCAAAACCTTCCCTTCCCGAAACTCAGACCTTGCAAATATGGGAATAATTGGGAGTCACCAGAGCACTTCTTTATTAAAGTGGCTTTACCAAGTTGCCATATGCCAGATATTTGAGAAAAATTAGCATAATCTCTTTAAGTATGGAACAGGAAAACTACTCCATTGCTGGACCAAGGTGGGAAAAATGACCCAGCTCTAAATAAGCTACGAAAGGAGGGAAAGAACATGGAAAAGAAGTGCAGTTGAATGATAAACATAATTCAATTGTTTAAAATTCAGAGATGCCGGTCCCCATTCCAATCAAAGAAGGAACTGAGAGCCCTGAATGTGTATTTACAGGCAGAACTTGTTCCTGACATCTCTGATTTTTTTTTTTATCCCTATTCTTTCCCCGACTCTTATTGCCAAAAAAAATTAGGTTCAAATGAATGCCTTGTTATTCACTGTCTGCAAGGATAATAAAGATGTTCTCTGGCTGAGAGCAGAAAGCAGGGCCTCCTGTGATCACGGGGGAAAGGAGAGAGAAGCATTATGAGAAGAATCAGCTGTTTTTATTAAAGGTGCTGTGTTCATGCAGCTTTTGTCAGGAAATCCAAATAATTTGCTCCCGCTTGCTTTCATTTGGACAAAACGGCAGCCTCGTGTTACATAAAAGGAGGAGAAAGAGCCTTGTTTCCCTCCAGTGCTTCTTTTATAGCAAGGAGACAGACACACTGTGGCTGTCCACAATTCCTGCATGGAAAGTTGGGAACAGGCACAGCCTGCCAAGAGGAATTAAACGTAATGAGAATGTTTCTGCTCCAAGTCAGAGACTGCATTTGCTGTATCACAGCCTGGGTGTTCTGAGGGCTACAAGATATTCTCTTTCCAGCAGTGCTGGGAGCACTGAAGGGTTCTTGGGACTGATTTTCCATTGCTTTGTCCCTCAGCTGAGGATCTGGATCTCACCAAACGGGGATTTCTGAGCAACAGGCATTTTGTATTCACAAGGCACAGCTATAAATACCTATTTTGTCAGGTCTCCTGACCTCAGTAGAGGAGGGATTCTGGACTCACAAGAAGACCTCAAGTATCTCCACGTGGATGATTTACCTTCCCCTTTCTCCCCACAACACTGTCTTTGCACCCAAGTTCTGGCACTGCAGGACCCCAAAGGTGCTGGTGGGATGTCCCAGAGCCCGTGTTTGTAACTGCTGGTGTGGGCAGTGCTCCATCCACAGGAATTAGTCCTTCCTGCCACGGGATCACTGTCAATCAGGGCCCAGGGAAGGTGATCCACTGGCTGCAAATGGAATGACTTTATCCAGTGCCTCGCTCTGCTTTAGCTGTTTTCATGCAAAATCCCCTCTGCAGACAAAGCTGGATTTTTTCAGAGGGTCTTTCCTCACCTCACACTTTTGCTTTAACAGAGGTGAGCTGATAGAAGCAGCAGCTTTTCTTTCAGGAAAAAAAAAAAAAAAATTAAAACCTATACTATTCAGATCCATCCTGATCTTTGGACTTCAAGGAGGCCCTAAGTCCAGTGCTGGCCTGAAGGGGTTATGAAGATGCTGTTAAACTGCTTTATGTCACAGACCTGAATAAAAACATCAACCATACCATCTTTCAGGTGCTCCCCTTTGCTGCCAGCTCCATGCTGTGTTCCAGCAGCTGGGAAATGAGAATTTTCTTTCCTCCTTGCCTTGGACTGGGAAAAGAAGAGAGCCCTGCTTTCAGCAGGAATCGTGCTGATGTTGCCTCTTCGGGCAAACAAAACTTACTGAAAAGCAACAAGGTGTGACTCTCATGATTGAGGCAGAATATTTCTGCTGATGCCTGTTCTTTAATGTCTTCTTTCCAACCTCATCTTTTTTTTGCAGTTGAGCTGTGAGACACGAGCAGCTGAGCTTCAGCGGTGCTCCTCCTCATTTTGCACACTGCCTTGGCTGTTTTGGAGAGCTGCTGAATACAAAATGAAGCTGCAAGACTGTGTTTGCTCCACAGGCAGCAAGGCATGAAGCCCTCCTCTCTCCAGCTGTGGAGTACAGCCAGAACCTTGCTCACAGTGTCGCTGGAGATGTGACTCAGTGTGTGTGACATTTACTATTCCATTGTGTGACAGCAGATGATTAATGCTCGCAGCAAAACACGAGCCGGTTTAAATAAACAAAATTAAATGTATTTCTATGATTATAGAAATCATGTGTTGTATCTCGGAGGGAACATCAGCTGCTGCTCCCAAATGCTTCGGATCTGTTGGCTTGTTTTGAAATGCTTTGATTGTTCAGTGGATTTTCCTGCCGCGTAAATCCATCGGCACTCTGGCCCAACGAGGCCAGTCAGGGATTTGGCCTGGAGTGTGGGACACAGCAGGCTGCTGCACATCAGCCTCAATCTTGTTTCATGGTCAGCAATTTACAGCATCAGATTGTTCCAGCCCAGCCTTAGGGAGGCATCACGAGATATAAAAGGGCAGGACCTCAGCCCGGTGCCAAACCAGTGGGATCCTCCCAAGCCTGTCCCAAGGGCACCAGACCAACTGGACCTGCTGGTCACCCACCAGGAGGGGTGTCCTTTCTGTTCCAGCAGTGCTGCTTCCTGAGGAATGAGTCGCTTGGGATGCAGCCCAGTGTGTGGAGCAGAGCCCAGCTCCGAGTCTGGTGCGTGTTCTGATACTGGGAACAGGAATAAATACTGATTTTATACCTCTCTACCAACTGGGTTGGGCAAAAAACGAGTCTTAACTGCTGTGTCTGAGCAGGGTTAGAGAGTGTTAGAGCAGCTGGAGGCACCAGCAGCATTATTGCCAGGACACACAAAAGCACAACACCATCACAGAGACCCCTCAGTTTATCAGATTGTCGTCAGGTGTGTGTGCTCAGTGTGAACACACCTGCAAAATTAATAATCCCCAAGCTCTGTTCAAAAGAAAAGGCCTTGTACAGAAACTCTCAAAAAAAAAATAAACAGGGCTTTGCAGCACTGAAGGAGATGGAAATGTAAAACACCCTTTCCACTTGAAACCCCTTCTCTGTGGAGTCATCAGGATGCATTTCCTGGGGAAAGAGCAAAGACTTTGATCTGCCTTTTCCTTGAACGCTGTTCAGATTATCATGCCTGCCATGAAGGGTGCAAAATGGGCTGCCAGCTGGTTAATGGCCCTTCTGAAAAACAGCCTGCTCTGTTGCTTTTTGGAAGCCACTTGTCATGGAACTATCATAACATAATCTCTGTGCTCTCGTCGTCCATGGGAGGGAGCGTATTTTGAGCAGGTGTTATCGAGGCTAAGAGAGCCTGAATTAACTCATCTTGAAGATACTTCTTAGTGCACTGCCAATAAATCTGCTGGAGAGTTGTTCCATCTACAAAACGCATGCCAAGTGATAGAGAAAGCAGCAGATCAGGGATGAGTTCTGCCAGCTCGTCCTGTGGGGGTCGTGGCTCCTCTTCAGGGTGAGCTTTGCCACTGCCCCTCGTGTTAAACTCTGCTGTCCCTTGATTTCCCCAGGGCTCCCTGCCTTCATCTGTCTCCTCCTAATAGCTTTGTGAATCCCCTGGGCAATGGCTGGAGGCACAGGAATTTGCTGCCATCACTTTCAAGAAGCTGGAATTCATCACTTAACTCCAGGGACTGAGGGAGAGGAGCTTAGCCAAGCTGCTGACTGAGAAAGGGAGGGGGCAAACCACCTTTTTAGTCCCTCACAGGCATCCTGCACCCAGGAGAAGTCCTGCAGCCTCTAAACCAAGAGGCACAGAGGGGCTTCATTATTTTGTACTGCATTATCTGACGGTTTCCTGCAGCAATAGGTTAGGTTTTGCTTACTTATAAAACAGTAACAGGATTTGTGACTCTTGCAGTATATCCACATTTAATGAGTGCATGTGCACACNTTTTTTTTTTTTTTTTTTTTTTTTGGTAGAAACACTGGGATTAGAAACCCATTTCGTATTTTCAGGTAAGTGGCGTCAAGTAATTTTTGCAAAGGGAGCAAAAATTGAGTTCTTACAAATCCCACAAATTCCCACCCAGTTCTTTGAACTCAGGCTTCAGGGCACAGCCTGAGAGAAACCTCTCGTGGTCCAAAACTGACTGCAACGAATGGCAATCCTTTGATGATGGACTGCACAGGGATTTGGAACAGGCTCCAGGTGACTCTGACTAAATTTAGCTTCTTCTGGTGACACTTTTTGCTCTGGGTGTTTTGGACACTGCAGAATTGCTGGCTTGATTTAAACATTTAAGGTTATGGAATTCGACACCCCCCAATTTCTGCTCTGCCTATCCTGATGTATCATCAAGTGAAGAGGAAGAGCTGCTACCATGCTCAGCTTTTGTAAGGGCTTGACCCAGAGCTGTTTTGCTCCTGATTCCAAGCTCCGTGTCCCACACATTATGAGTCAAAAGCTTGGTAATTAAGAGGTCACCCCCTCAGCACACTTTGTTCCATGTGTGTATGCACACTGAACTTGGAATGGCACTGGAAAATAAATGAATTCAAATCACTCAAGGTTACCCCGTTCAGCTTGAATCCCATGAAACTGCAGCAGGAAACTAGTTCTGAAATACTGGGATGATTGACAAATAACTTCTGATCAAAAAGCTGATGTGAGAGCCTCAAATAAACAGGCTTTTTGTGTCACACTGTTGGTGACCAGTGAGATTTGACATTGTCCAGACCATGATCCTTACAGGTTTCAGGGCAAGATGGATTTCTTGATGTCTTTTATTTCTTATCATTATTTTATTCACTTTGCTCAGGTAATGCCATCAACAGTTACCACCTGTAAGGATTCCAGCTTGGGTTTAAAACACAACTCTTAACAAACACCTGTAAACAGAGCAAAAATATTAAACTGGGTCTAAACTCTTTTGGATGTAGAATACTTGAAGGAATGGCTGAAGCTCATCTTTTTCCAAGGGCAATTCCAATCCCTTAACGAGAACACTAAAGATGTGATTTAGACACAACCCAGATTTCCTCGGGATGTTTTTCCTCCCTTCCTTAAAAGCACTTCTACACAAACATAGAACTGTTTTTCTGTAGGAATTTTCCAGCAGTTTCTCCAAAAGATCTCTTTTCCATAGGGAAGACGTGTGTTTATGAGAGAAAGACAGTAAACCAACTTGTGATCAGTAGAGCACAGGTCACATCCAAACCATCATTCCTGCTGAGATTCAGTGGGGCTGAAAAGATAAAAACTCAGGCAGTGGGTTCAATTCCTGAGCTGCAGCAACAATTTCAATTCCTTCCTGATCCTGGTAGACCTAAAATTTTACAAGCACTATCCATGTCTTGGATAATACATTTATCTTTCCCACCTTTCTCCATTACCTGACATCCTTCATTACCTCACATCTTTGACTGCTGCACTGTGCCACTGTCTATAAACTGCAATTTCAACTGCATTTTTTGTACATTACTTTTGTCTACCTTTTTATTCTGTTTGCCTACTGCTGCCTAAACAACCGGCCTATGACTGGTTTCTAACTAGTGCTGTAAAATGAACAATATTGCTGAGGATGTGCTTGTCAGGCAGTGGGATGGAAAAAGAATGTCATTTGAGGGTCCTGGAAGAGGGGGGTGGCAGATACACGGTGCTAATGAGTTACAAAGTACCAGCTGTGTGCACTGAGAATGGTTCCTCATGTGGAACTTTGTTTTCCAGCCCTCACCCAGTGCCAGCTGGAAGCCAAAGAACCTGTGAACCAGTGAACAGAGATCCCAGTGAGCAGCTGGAGTCTCCCTCCTGTCTGGACCCCTGTGACTGTGGCAGCTTGAGCCAAACTCCTTGGAGACCACAGTTTTACAAACTAAATTAATCTACAGTTTCTCATCGGTTGTGCTCAGAGTAGCTCACAAGGGAAGTCATCTCAGTTCTTGCTGGTATTGTCTGAGTTACCAAGGTGCTGTTTTCCTCCTCCCTGGCACTGGGTTTTGGGGGGTAACTCATCCATCTCTTTCTAATCCATGTATTTCCATTTTCCACTGCAGGGCCAAAAGCAAAGACTGCCCAATTTAAGGGACAGGGACAGCTCAAGAACGAGCTTGGAAACTGCACTTTTGGAGTAGGCCTTGTTGCCACTTTAGGAAAACCCTTGTAGAAACATTTACTGCCTCCTGCTCAGGAAGAGGGAACACCTGCCAGGGGACAAGAATTCCCCTGGGACCAATGAACCTTATCCAGCAATCCATTATCAAAGATTCAGAGCAAAGTCTGCAACACAAAATACTTCAGGGTTTGTTCCCCCCATCCCCAAATATGAGTCCCAAGAACTTGGGTCTAACTGTGATCCAACTCATTAACTGTACAACACCTTCACAAATTTAAGTCCCACTCGGGCTGTTCAGCTTCCCAATGCTCCCACAGGATTACTGTCAATAGGAAAGTCCTTCTTAGCTCCTTAGGATAGAGTGACATCTTGTGGTTTCTCCTTTTGTCCACCATTGACAAATAAAAATTAGCCAAGAAAGCTTTGTCTAAGTTTGGTTTTGTTTGTTTCTGGTTTAACTGCACCATCTCATTTGTTTGAGGAGTATCACATTCCTGATTCTCAGACACTGAAACAACAGTTTGCTTTGCCACCACCAAGGCTTGTGGAAAGAGAGTGAAAATCAGTGCCTGGAACACCAACAAAAACATTCTAATTCACACAACACAAATTCTTCTTTGAATGTGGAATCTACAAAAACTGGTGCTTAAAATCATTTACAAGTGGGATCTTGTAAGTTAAATACATTATTAGTTAGATATTTATCACTTAAATAAGTCAATCTCCAGCAGTAGCACCACTACTAAAAGGTTTCTTAGGGAAAATACTCTTTCCAACTGCAGCTCTGGAAGGCATTCCCACCTGGACTCCAGGTGTGCAAGGAATTATCCTTCTCACGCTTCAACTGCAGCTGCACCACAGAAGGATCTCAGTAATCAGTGCCACACCACGGGTCACTCACCCAGCACAATCAGAGAAGTTACAGTGATTTATTTGCTGATTTTGCCTCCAACACGAAATACAATTTTTCTTTTTCTTTTTTTTTTTTTTAAGACTACACAGCTGAACTCACATATGAGCTGCTGCTGACAAACTCCCCTTCCCCCCAAAAACAAAGATCCAAACAAAAAGACAAAATTATTTTGCTAGTTTTGTATTGAAAAAGCAAAAGCATCTTTGAAAGGAACGTTCCACAAAATCTGGAGCAAACCCCATAATGGAGTGGCATTCACGGACCTCAATAAACTGGTAGCAATACTTAGGATATTCTTCCTGCTGAAAAGCACTATTGTTTGAGAGCTGTTCTCATTGTGGTCTACAACTCACATATTTGCATAAGTTGGAAATAAATCAATTCAGCGTTGTTGAAAACCACATAATTCTCGATTTTCTAGAAACATAAAAGGGCTGTTTTGCATCTCTAAGGACCAGGAGAGCAGCGAGTGAAACCACCAGTGTTTTTCTGTTCCTGCTGGATTTCCTGTGTGCCCACTCAGGCAGTTCTCAGAATCAGATCTGGAATGTTTAATTGCACATCATTCCAGCTGTATCCCTGCTCAATCCAACTGCTGGGGAACACTGTGCACTTGCCTGGTATCCTCTACAAACACTCCTGCCTGGCAGCTGTCCTTCCAAAATTCCACAGCTTTAGTTCAAATCCATCTTCAGTCCTTCCCTTGGTAAGGAAGCATCTACTGCTGCCACGAACTGGTGCAAAGAGAACACAAAACTGGTCAGGAAGAACTTCTGAGGGACTCAAACTAAACATTGGCTTTCTTGTGTCTTTCCAAATCAGATGAACAACACGAAAATCAGCCCCCAAAAAAACGTCATGGCTTAAAAATCAGGCTCCCATAAGATTAAACCCACAAGGGATGTGGGTCACTTTTAAAGACATGAGGGGATGTTCACAGAACTGCTTAAATATGAAGAATCAGCCCTTGTATAACCCCCATCAAAGCTCATTTTACCTGCAGTGACACTAGTTCTGTGTCTTGGTAAATTTAGCCCCTGCCCATGGTGAGAACTCCCTCACTCAGGGAATGAATGGCAGAGAGGCCCGTGGTTGAAGTTCAGGCTGTAAGGTTTATTCCCACAGAATTCCAAAGACAAAGCTCCTCTCTATTGACTGAGAAGAAGCCCACTTCTTAGCCACAGGTTTGTGCTGATGATCTGTTTCAGAGGAGCTCCTCCCTCCTTTTCCCCTGTTCTCTCTTACCTTTCCAACAATTCCGGTTCTTTCTGTACTTTGCCCAACGAGGGAGGAAATAATGACATGGCTCTCTGGTGACAGTGGGTACTTCTCCTCCTCTTCCAAATGGAAACACCAGCTAATTCTCCTGCTAATATTTACTTGTGCTACGTGTCATTCTCCTCTCTGGCAGTTTATTCTCAAGAAAAAAGTAAATTGAAAAGGATTATGTTTTTCCTTTAGACATTTATTTATGAATAGAACATTTTTAGATACTTAAAAATTAAGTTTTTTTTTGTTTTGTTTTGTTGGGTGGTTTTGTTTTTGTTTTTTTCTTTTGAGATAGAACATTCTAGTTCCCTGAAGTGAGAGAGTGAAAAGCTCAGGTTGAAGTAGAACAACTACTCTGGGGGAGAGGAAAATATGTGCAACAAAAATGACTTTAGTACTCAGGTATTTTACTTCAGTCACACACAGAGCTGTTCTGCACTGACAGGGCTCAAATATTCATGCCATCAACTTTTATTGTCATCAACACTTAGGGAGGGTCAGTGGCAGTCACATGCAGGAGCATCCAGAAAAGCAACATTTGAGAATCACGGGGGAGAGTTCACACAGAGTCTATCACAAGTCAGAGAATAAAATCCACTCAGCTTCATTTGTTCCATTCCCCCCTGATCAGCCAGCAGAGCACACAGGCTCTTCACTGCTCTGACAGGAACAGGATGAGAGCACATTGTCCACGTGGAGCTCTCAGAAATCACCACCAAGGTTTGCCATTTGCATTATTCAGAGCTGCACATTCTGCTCCTGTCTCATTGATCAAGCCAATCTTTGGACCGTAAAAAAAAAAACAAAACAAAACAAAAAAAATTCACAAATAATAGGCTTGCAGTTTTCTGCTTTACAATCCACTAGAACAAGAAACAGTTGTTGACATGTACACAACTTTATTTTAAGGACACAGCAATCACAACAACAGAAACAGAACCATTACTTTAATACTGTAAGCTTCCCTCTGGGAACTGACTTGCACACAGTTAGATCCGAAAGCGTCTGAAACAATATCTTGGGGGGGGGAAAACACAGCAAACCTTAAATATATTAACTTCAAACTTTATGTGCTTATCTCCTCTTTTTTTTTGGTAGCTGGTGGCAGTTAAAGCTTTTCAAAGTCATGGCCACTTGTATTCATTGCTTCGGGGTGCATCACCCGTCCCATGAATAACACGGTACCTGTGGGGAGAGTGGGGAGGGAGGGGGGGATGGAGAGATGTCAGAACCAAAATTAAATTACATTGGAGGGGTATGACATAATGAATACCAACAATAAGCTCCAGAACATGTGATGGATGATTTTTAAAGGAAGATACAGCAGAGAAGTTGGTGGTCATGCAACAGCAGTGTTAGGAACTGCCCCAAAGCAAGCGGGTTCTGCTCTGTTCTGATGGGAAGTTTTCTTTTCAGAGAGATTTTGGGATGCTGAGTAGGTAAAAAAGGCAGATCTCCTCCTCCAGATAAAATTTTTGCCCAATGTGTCTACTACAGCAAGGATACTCAATTTAGTTTGGTTAAAAAAAAAAAACCCTTAAGAGTTGGTATCCTGCCTTGCTGGCCTCATTTTGGTTGGGATGAAGGTAATTTTCTCCTGAATAGCTGGTCCAGTGCTGTATTTTGAATTTTGTACAAGAATAAAGCGCCCAGCTGGACTGGAAGCATTGCTGCAATCTAAATAAACAAACAAATCTAAATAAACATTGCTACCTGTGGTGAGGATCACAAACACAGACCCACAGGACAGTCTGTGAGTGCACAGGAACGTTTTACATCCACTCACAGCCACACCATTAAAACAAATTACAAACAGGAAACCGAGGAATTACTTAATCACTGCCCATTTAGTCGGTGAGGGCTGTTCTTACCCCTCACCTGCCACAGAGCACTTGGAGAGCACAACAGAATTATTCATGGCTGTAGGATCTGCCCATTATGCAAATCATTTGGTACTGGGAAAGTGTTTCACTGGTCTTGCTACAGCCAAGCTCTGGGGGACCGCAGTGATTATGGATGTTCAGGGCAGTAACATCGTGTTCTCACAACAAAAATGGGGAATTTTTCTTCCCTGGGGTTTTTAATCACATCCTTGTGAATGGGTTTTTTCTGTCAGATTTCCATGTCTTATTTGGAGAAACACTCAGGGGGGGGGCACAGAAAAGGTGAGTCTGTCAATATTAGGTTTTTTAAAGGAAAATTATTAATTAAGGAAATGTCATAATAATTAATGAAAATTCGTAACACAAGCCCAGTTCATTGATCAAAACACCCAATTTTTCTTTTGAATACTTGATGACGTGCTGTGAAGAATTCAAAAGTCTGCAATATTCTCACCTGTTCTTCTGTTTCTGACCAAAAAGAAAAAGGGATGGTCAACTATAACCTGGGGATACAGCACCGCCATCCTGCTGATGGCAATCATTCCTAGAGGGAAAAGAAGACAAGGCAACTTGTTAAACAGACTCATGGGCAGCCACTGCAGCCCCACACCCAACACCAAGGAACAGCAGGACAGTGTGAACTGAAAATGGGAGAGCCCTGCAGAGCAGTTTTGGCTTTGAGAAGGACTAACAATGCAAAGTGGTGCAACTGCTGGTAAATTTTAAGATCCAGAGGCTTCAGAGGAGTTTTGAGCTCCCCCTCACTGGTGGAAAGGGGGGGAGTTGCAGCAGCCAGCACTGCTGACCTGTCTGACACAGCTCCAGCCTGAGGTTCACAGCAAAAGGTAACCCTTAATAACTGGGGAATGTGCCACAATTAAATGGGCTGATCCTGCAGCTTTTATATTGAGCTGATAAATAATGCAGAGGCTGAAAGCAAAATTAACTGAGAATCAGGCAGACTTTGACTCTTTGTTATTTTTATTTGGAGATGCGTAGGTTTCTCCAGGACATTATTATCAATTCCCAGTGTTTAATTTAATTTCACATTTTCCCTGCACTGTTCATTAAGACTCCAGCATTGCCAGTAATCTCTGTCCATATTAATGGTACAATTCAACCCAGCCCAGGGAAGCAATTCCTCCTTTCCTCAAAGACTGGCACAAGCAGAGGCAATTGGAAATCATCTGATTATCCACACTGGCAACTAATGGGACTTAATTTCAGGAAAACCGTGTGATAATCATGTCAACCAACCAACTACCCCCAGCATTAGCAGGGGCCAGCAATGGCTTTGCATTCAGCACTTCCCACCTTGCATCTCTGAGCATGAGCTTATTAAAATGCAACTGTAACAGCTCCCACCTCTGACCATCTCAATTAGCAGATAAAAATGTTGAAAGCTGAAGTTCCACAAAGAAAATATAAACTGCAGTCTGTGCTCTCCTGACAATCAGAAGGAAAATAAGGAAGAGGAGGTTTTTCACAGGATGCTCAAAATCCTTTGTGAAACGCAACGTGTTTAAAAAAAAAAAAATGCCAACACTTCATTTCCAGAATTCTCTTCTGAAAGCAGTGCCTTGCTATGCTGTGTCCCCATCCTATTTAGCTCTCCTGGCTGTGCAGCAAGTCAGCCCTAAAAAATTAATTAACACAGAATAACCAGACATTTGATTTAGTTCTGCTTTTCAGTCAGGTACCTGAGGCAGCAGCAGCTTCTGATCCTTCCTCATTAACTTCTAGAAACGCCTTGTGAAATGCCTTTGCAAGGTAAAGTTCCTTGTTACCTGGAGAGGAAAGGGAAACACATTTCAAGTGGCTCAACAGTTAGATTGAGGTGTTTAAAAAAAAACCCCAAACACTGCCAAAAACCCCAGCACTATTATCCACCTTCTATACCAGGCAGGGAAGGATAAGAGCTTTGTTGCATTAAAATACCTTCTGCCAATACCTTTAATAGCACCATTTACCTCACTTAGATTTGTAATGCTCTCCTACACTATGGATATTAAAATAGCTCAGGACTGCCTAGAGCACCACTGTCCCAGAGAGGGTAAAAAACAATCCTTGAAAATAAGATTTTAAATACAACTATTGGAAAAAAGGATTATGACATTATATAGCAAATACTGAGACACAGAGAATTTTATTCCTGTGTTAGGTACAATACAGACTCCTCTAGGAAAATCAGGTCTTTTCTTTCTGCTTCCATTATATTTTGAAGAAGCTGAACATCAATATTTATTGCCAAACCCACTGTGGTACTTGTTTGTTTTTTTTAGTCTTATTTGTTTTCCATCCTTCTTTGTCAGTATTTTTATTTCAGTCCAAGCCTCCCTCTGCTTAAGTCAGTGAGTGTTTCATTACTTTCCTTCAGTGGCCAAAGGATCAGATCTACTGGAACACTTAGCAGTTCTAATACTAAACCAAGTCAAAGCCACCAGAAGCAGCAGTTTGAAATGTCTCTCCCCAGCAGATCTCCTTGCACTGAATTAAACCTCCTGCTCCAGCTTCAATCCCACCACCAAGAGCCCCAGATCATCCCCTTTGGGACTGGGGGTATAAAACACATAAAGGCAGATAAAAATTGCACCAGTTCTGAGTTTCAGTTCCACAGCACTTAACCCTGGTGCTGTGTCCTGGCACAGTCCCAGAAATACTCTGTATTTTCACCCCCAATGCTTTGTTTTGCAGAGTGTGGTGGCACTTCTGGAACTCAAGGTACATTTCTGGTCGGAGCACTTTGCACCTCAGAAGATTGGGCTCCATCTGATGAGCTCAGAGCCCCCATTTCTGACAGAACAAACACTGCTGACATCTGCCATCAGGTGGAAAAGCAGATCTACCTGTACTCAGGATCTGAGTATTAAAAAAAACCAACAGCATTTAAAGGTGACAGGAGCACAAGTGTCACTGCAGATGAGACCAACACATGCAGTCAGTCCAGCACACTGCACCAGCTCTGGCACTGCTGCTGCTCCAGAAGATCCAAGTCACCTCACAGATGAAAACTACACCACAACTTAGCAGAGAGACAAATGCCTCATATCCTAAACCAAGTTTCTAATCCCCAGAATATACAGAATGCCTTTATTCAGTGTACCATACGTATTTGTCACTGCTCTGAAGCCATTTTATTTTTTTAAATCCCACCAATCTCGTGACCCCAGGGAATGGCCAGCCAAGATCTCTGCAGATAAGTTTTCCATGAGAGCAGCACTTTCTATTTGTTTTCAATTTGCTGCCTTTCACTTCATTGGATATCTCTGTCCTTGGATGATGAAAAGAGCAATTCCACATCCCAAATTACTTTCTCTAGATTCCCCTCTTCATAGTTACACTGCCACATCCCTCTCATTCATCTCCCCCCGAAGTGAATGAATCCATTTTCATATGAAAGCACAACCACAACGTTGTCACTGGGAGTTCAGGCAGCTTCTCTCTGATGCACTTGGTGATTGTCATATCACTGACTGCAAAACTGCATATCACATCTCCTCATGATTATCCATCTTTCCTGATGGCTTCACTGGAGGCAAGGTGGGGCTCACCTGAGGATCTGCCATCACATCATTCTTCTCCAGCAGCCTCTTCAAATGTGGATTTTCGTAAGAACCCACACGATTTGATTGTTAACACCTCAGGAATTCCCAGGGGGATTTGGTGCCAAGGTTTAAGCTTTGTGCAGGACCCAAGCCTAGATCTCCATTAATGAGTGGGAGGGATCCGAAGCTCCCTCCTGATGTCCAGGACTCCATGAGCATCACACTTCATTTGTCACCACACTCCATCTGTCTGCAAACTCCTACTCAGCTGCCAACTGGCTGCTCTGCAAGTCTCATTTTAAAGAAATCATGAAGGTTTATTGGCTCTTCCAGCTTAGGCTGTCCCAGAAAAATTATATGGACGTCAGTCAAGGCTTCAAAGAGCCATTTACTGGACTGATGCTCTTCTAACTACTTCACACTGTGAAAGTAAGTCACTGAGATCACTTCCCTGCTCACTGCCATGCAGGTCACCTTGCATTAAAAGCAGCTGCCATTTAAGACTCTATAAAAACAGTGAGAAATATTATAATCATTTGAAAGAGAAGGGGAATTTCAGTATTGAAATTAGTTCAAGGGTAAATCTTAACTGGTGTCAAAATACTCATGCAGTGAGTTTATGTGCTGCGTAAATTCTAAAATGCCAAATACCAGAAAGCTGTTTCAAGTTTCTTTTGGACACCTGATGGAATCAGATGTCAGGTCTTTTGATGGAAATGTGACCTGACAGCCAAGGGGGAATGTCCTCCTACTCACTTTCTCTTGGGTTGCTCAGAATCCAGACGGTCCAGAAGGCAAAGCCGACTCCTCGACTTCCATTTTTCAGATTGAGTGCAAAAAGCACAAAATTCTCAAAATTGAAAAATAAGTCTGTAATCCTGTATTCTGCCTTGTATCCACTAAACCCACATGGAATTTTGCTGAAGTCACCAACATGCCTGGATCTGTTTACAGGATTAGGGCTGTTGCTGAAATTGCAGCGACTTCCCTTGACAGTAAAGCAAAAGCAACAGAACAGAATTCCTCAAAAATCTCCTTAGATTTCATTTATGATTTATTTCTTCCCACATTAAGTGTCCAGACAAAGATTTTGTTCCAATATCTGCATTTAAGGTTCCGCGAAGTGCCAAATATTCCAGAGGGCTGACCCTGAGATTCATGGAAACTTTTTCCAACTTCCCTGCTACCTGATGTACCACTCAGGTGTTTGTAAAAGCAAGCTCTGAACAATTTTTCTTCGTGATTTTCATTTTCCCTTCCTCCCTCCACATTTCACATCATGAAAATTAGAAATAGGAAACATCCTCCGTATTTTAATTATTTAAAGCTCTATCTCCACCGCATCAACGGTGGGGTTTTCATTAAAGGCATTAATTCAAAACCATTTTTTAAATTCTTAATTTACAAATGACCTTTTCATCCCCTGGTGGCACATCCCCTTTTCAGTGAAAAGCAGGCAAGTTACAGTGAAACTCCTGAATTCTCTCTGTACACTGTTCTGTACTCAATAAACAATCTTTATCTTTAAATGGCAGAGGAGTTATTTCAGTCATGCAGAAGAAGGTATTTTGATTTTATACAGTACAATTGTCAAAAATATAAAAATGGAAACAAATCATTGGTCACATGGATTAAGACACAAGCACCTGATTCTCTCTGCCAACCTCGCCATTACAGAATTAGTCCCTGATACAGAGATGAATCTTACATGGAATTAAATAAGAGCCAGGAGCTGCCTTTGTGCTTCCATCTCCTCTGTGCATCTTCCATTCTCCTAAGTGCTTTTTCTCAAGTAAATAATTTTATATATATAGACCAGAATTTATTGGAAAGCTGACTGTTCTTTGAGGTTGCAGAGAAATTGAAGGTGTTTTTCTTCAGAAGAAATGCTATTTCTTTGAAGAAGGATTTTTTCATTTATTTCAGTTCCTTTCATTAGCTAAGTCTGGCTTTTCCCACAGCCTCACTGGAAAAGTGAAATAAGCTGCATGATACACCAGAAACAGGATTTCAGACTTAGAAAAAAATGGGAGGATGTGAACATCACAAACATTGCTCTGGATGTTTCTGAGGAAGGTTTGACTTATTACCTGTACTTTGGATAAGCCCTCAGGTGTGTGACTGTTCCCAGGGACAGACAATGCAGAACAGGGAATGCCCCCATCAGCCAGGGATCTACCTGGATGGTTGGGCAGCAACACATGCAACAAAACAACCCCAAAAACACAGAGGGAGCAGTGAAGAGGAATAAATTCTAAGGACAAGGACAGTGGTCTCATCCTGGCTCATTTTGGGGTTCCCAAAATTCAGGTCTAGACAGACTGTGTTAATAAACTGCTCACCTGGCTCCTCCTGTTATGTAAAGATGAATCAACTTCTCAGGCATTTTTGGGTCACTTCAACAGAGCAGCTGTGGCTGCCCCAGCCCTGGAAGTGTCCAAGGCCAGGTTGGACGGGGCTTGGAGCAACCTGGGCTAGTGGAAGGTGTCCTTGCCCATGGCAGGAGTCTGGAACTAGATCAGCTTTAAGGTCCCTTCCAACCCAAACCATTCTGTGATTCTAGGAACACTCTTTAAGAGGTATTAAAAAGCATTAATATCTCATCCCCACCTGAATTTTTAAACATATTGGATATTTCAATTCGTGAAAATTAAGTGTGGATAACATATTGCACCAGGCAGGCAACAGCTGTGACTAAACTGCTTTTATCTCAGAGCTCTCCTTCCATCCACAGGTATCTGGGGAGATGACTAATTGTACAACAGCTCAATGCTCTTAACGCTGGGAACAAACAGCCTCCAGGGATCCAGGATGACAGCCCCTTGGTGTGGGAATTCCATCTGCCAGGAAAGCAGCCATACACTGCTCTCACCATACCACACTGCCTCCAATTTCCAGGGAGATCCAGGTCTGAGATACTCCCAGTGAACTCTCCCAGGTAAATAGATTTCCTCATATGCCTTGAGAGACAAGACAAGACAAGAACCTCTTACCAGACATGGCAGTGAGGTCAGCACTGCTGCTGAACAGCTCTGTAATTCCCAGCCCTCTCCACACTTCTTTGAGATCAATCTCCTGTTCCACTGTGAACCTGCAGGATGGAACAGAAAATCACAAACAGCCAGATGCGAGCACTACTCACTGGTATGAAAGATTCAACTTTCTAGGTAAAAACACCAAGATAAATAATGCAAAGGAGGAGGTTCACTGCTAGTGACACCTTCCAAAAAACGCTTACAAACAAATTAGTTTACTCACAGCTGGATCCTTTTTCTAACACAGAAGCAATCAAAAATATGTTAATGGTATTTACAGCCCTGACCATAAAACCTCAGTGCAAAATTATGCAGTAGTAATGGAAAAGATTACTTTTTATACAAGAGGTTTACTTTAAAAACTGCATTTAATTGTACAAATACTAGAACAGAATATCAAATGAGGCAAATAACAGCTGATTTTCACAGAGAGCTGTGGGCAAAGAAGGAGTGGAAAGTAAGAAAGATCCTCCACTTTCCCTGTGACAGCATAAGCAAAGACCAGCAGCTCTGAACAGGAACATAAAGCATTTCTAACTCAGCTTCTAATTAGTCTGGTGGCAAAATTGTAATTGGGTTTTGATTGTGAGTAAACAACAGGGAAAACAGAGAGCTGTCAGTGTGAATGCACATGTGAGTACAACCTGGCAGCATTTCAGGGGGAGCCTGCAGAGCCTTGTTCTAGGAAGGACAAAACAAGACCTGTCCTGAGGGCAAGATCTGGGGCAAAAGCTCCTTCCATTTCCAATCCCTGCTTTTCAAACAGCATAAAAGCCATGCCTGGTGTCAGTGAGACAAAAAAAAAAAAAAAGTCTCAAGTTGTTTATGCGTAGCCAGAACCAGACTGGGCAGCTGGAGAAACAAAGAAATGTGTCAGAAAAATAATAATAATGGCAGAAAATACCAGATGTCTGCAGACAAACACAGGGGACTGACTACAAATGGTTGTTATGGGGGAGTTATGGGTTCTCTGTAGAACGACCAAACAAATTATTTGTAATGTAGATGATGCTGACAGTGACTGGTTATAGCTATGGAATAACAAAATTTGTAGTCTGTAAGATGTTGTCAGAGTTTCTCCAGCCATTGAGTCAGAGACAACCCTGCAGCCCTCAGTGATGGGACAAAGAAGCGCCAGAACCAAATAAAATCAGTGTTTCTGTGCAATCTCGTTTTTCAGGATTGAATTTCCTCAGCTCCCTGGAAGAAAATGTTCTTTGCAGGAGGAAGAGCAGCCCAGAAGTCTGAGCAGAGCACAGCTCATGAAGAGCTGGGATGCACAACCCAGCATGTGCAAACTTGGCAGCTCAGGAAGGAGGAATCTGGACATCAAAATAGAACTGGATGAGAGTCAAGTGGATCTTCCTCACTCACACAGAAGGAGAAAAATCCAGCACACAGTTTACACTCATAATGAACTCACAAATGCCATGAGAAGCCAAAAATCTCTGATGGGATGGATATTAGTCATTACCCACAGAAGCATTTTAGGAGTTAGGATCTGGAGATAGTTCAGGATTGATAAATCACTGGTGGCATTGCAAGTGTTCATCTACCTTGTCCAGAGCAATTCCAGGACGTGCCTGGGATAAAAATAAAGGAGCTGGTTCTTGTGAATTTATTGCTTTGGCAGTTCTCAAAAGGGTCAGAAGAGACCAACAAAGATTTCAGTCCTGCAGGAAACTCCTCATGGTGTTCTGGCATGTTCTGCACATGGAATCATTTGTTAAAAAAAAGAAAAATGGGGAAAAAAGGCATTGTTTTAACGAATGAGATGTAGGTAAACATGAGATGACCTGAAAATAAACAACAGGATTTTAGGAAATGGAAATGTGTCCTGTGAGCTTTCTTTTCCTCCTGGAAAGCTGTGGACACCCACACAGGTCAAAACCTACCTCACAAAAAGAGAAGGCATAGGAATGTCAAAATTCAGTTTATAAAAATTTCAGTGCTGTGTGTTTTCCCTTCTGGGTTTTATTTCACCCCAGGATTAAATCTATTAATGTTTCAACACAATTTAGGCAGGGATCAGCAATGTCAAACTAGTAAAGAATATCTGTACAATATCTCCAGGAGGGAGTTCCTGCTTTTTTTTGTCATAAAAAGCAGACTAAAAAAATCACATCAGCTGTTTAAATATCAGATGGTCCCTTTATGGAAATAAAACTAATTACTTCCCTTCTCCCCTCTTTTAGTTCTGTCCTGTGGTAAATCCCCACTCCCAACCACTGTTCCAAATAATATCCCCCCTCCTTTTTCTCCTGCTCTGAAAAGCAGGGAGAGTTACAGATAAATTATTAATGAGCTTCCCAATATTTCAGCTGGCACCAGAACTGGCCTTTTCTGAGAAACAACAGGGCTGCTTTACACTGGGAAATTTAATTCCAGGCTGTGCAATCCCACAGAAACACCCAGGGTGAGGTATCTTCCATCATATCTGGATTTCTGTGCATTCCTTACAGTGATGTCAGCATTCAAAATCAAAGTTGACAACTCAGAACACGGAGCTGACATTTCAGCTCATTTCCCAGGCATCTGCTGTACCTCCAGACTTTGGGAATGCCGAGCTACACGTGCTTATTTGCAGTGTTTGGTGCATATAAAGAACCAGATGGTCTTTTTTTTTTTCCCCCCACAATCTTTTAGGTGCTCCTGATGCTAAAAATACTACGAAAAAAAATTGATTTCAACACTTCAATATCAGAAATCACGGAATAGTTGCAACTGGGAGCTGTAAAAACCACGAAGGGAAGTCTGAGGAACAGACACCGAAGAGAAGATTGAGAAAGCAGCAAAAAAAAATTCTCTGGAGAGTTCAGCAGGGAACTGGGATATTCTAATGAAATTTAAAACTTGCACAAGCATTAGATTCAAATGATGCATTTATGTCACTGAGAGTCCTCTGCAGTTCTTTATCTGAGCCTTTGGGTTCTGCAGAGAGCATTAATACACCACATCAGGCCATCTTTCTTCTATTTTACAGACATTCAAGACAGGAAAAAAAAAAAAAAAGCTGGCTTCATGTTTTATGATGCTGTGCAAACCTTCCAAAAATGCTACATTTTTTGTCTGATTTTTTAGATGCTCAGGATTCCCAGACTCAAGAAGGATCAGGGGACAGTGTCTACTCATCCAGCAGAAAAAAATGACTCATCCCAAAATGCATCATTTCAAAAATCACTAAGGGTTCTGAATGAGCCAGAGCAAGAAAATTCCAGGTTTTCAGATTGGTTCTAACTGATTAAATCCTGCAGGGCAAAAGGCTCTATTGCTTGACATCAATATTCTTACTTGGAGGGCAGGCTCTGAGGATCTGGAGCACTATTTTTACCCCAGTGCCAAGCTGCCAGCTGCTATCAGTTCCAACATTCCGGTTGGAATTTCAGCTGGGCTGTCCCGAGGTGCCAGAACCAGCCTGAATGATTTAATAGCCTGAAAACAAACAAGTAAGAAAAAAAAATCCCAAACAAACCCCACCAACAACAAAAGCAACCCCAAAAGCTCCACTCAGCTGCTCTGGCCAGGTGAAGAAAGGTAAGTTGTGGGTTTTTCTCTGGCAAGATCTTTCTTTCCAGGGTTCAGTATGGGCTGAGAATGGATTTCAGGGGGACAGTTTTATGCCTTTTATGTGGTTGTGTCTCAGGAACACCCAGCACTGGCCCATTCCATTCCTCATGGAAAGAGGACTTGAGACAGCAGGTTAAAAAAAAAAAAAAAAAAAAACGGAGGGATTTTTTTTTAATTTGGGTTTAGATTTTTGTTGGGGTTTTGAGTGGTTTTGGCGTTTTTTGTCTTTTAGAGAAAAAAACCCTTCAGGTAAAACCACTTATTTCAGCACTGTCTAAAGCATTTTTAAGTTTTTTTAAGTGTACAAAAAACCCCCAAGGTTATTACAGAGATTTGGGCAGACTGGAACACTCCTTAAGAGCAGATCTGCAAACTGTAGCACTGCCATTAGGTACCAGTTCCTCCTCTGCTCTTCAAATAATTTATGTTCCAGAGGCAGCTTTGTAAATTAGATTCATGGTCTGTTTCACTCCTATACAAAAAGTGGATTAAAATGTTGATCATTTTAGTCTGGGTTAAGCTGGAAACAATGATTTGAAAACGAAAATGAGAAAGTATAATTTAACAATTCGGTACAAATCTCTCCTTTGCTATTAAGAGGAATAATACCCAATTTCATTTGCACACAGATAATGCAGACAGAAATTGCAAAGTTGTGATTAACTCTGCTTTGGTTCGTCATTCAGGTCCTATTACAAATGTATAAGTTTAAAAAATGTTCACTTTTATAATTGGATAGCATCTCTCAAGATATAAAAATTTAATTTTATTCCACTGCTGCTTTCAGTTTCTCAGTGGACAGAGCCTGGAGGCCACATTTCATAACATGCTTTTCTGAGTCAGAGCATCAAATATTTATGAAGTGTTTATTTAGAGCATTGACAAAATCCTGTAGATCACCTCTGAATCCCTAATGGAAATCCAACACCTTGGGAGCAGGCAATTAATCTTTGGATTTGCTGTAAGGAGACTGCAGGACTACTGTATGGAATTCCAAGCTCCCAACAGTTCTCTTTTATAATCGGCAAACACTGAAGGTAACTGGCACATGGTTCTACCTGGTTTGCCTCTGTATAATCACAATTTGCAAGTGTTTATCAAGCTCTTTGAGGTTGTTGGATAAGAGAGACAGCCATTACGAGCAGCCCCAGGGCAGAATAAATAAGGACATTTTATGATCACACAAACCCCAGGGCTCGAATTCAAACCTGGGAACCTGCTGACAGAGAATCCTGAAGTCTCAGCTTTTGCTTAGAAGAAAAAAACCCCCCAAAAGCACCTCTACAAACTTAATTCAATCATCAACATAATGAATATGTTTTCAATGCCACTGGTGTATTTAGACACCCAAGATTCTCAAACGTGCAATTCACAGACTCTCCAGTGAATCAGTGGAGAGGGACTCCTGTTGTGGATCTCACACCCCAGGAATTCTTTTGAGAGAAGGTGTCCAACTTCAGCAGCTCATGCACAGGCTGGGAAATGTTCCAGGCATAAAAGCAAAGCTGAAGGGATGGAAGAATCCTTGGATTTTGCCTCTAATTAACATGTAGGTCAGGTTTGCCCAGGTCTGCAGAGGAACAGCCCGTGAGAAATTCCCCTCTCCTGTGTCTTAGTGGATTTTGTGAAGCCTCTGGGAGTTGAAGCTCCAAGAGAAAACAAACCCAAAAAATCTCAGGAATAGTGTAGAGTAGGTTCAGTTTGTACAAAACCTGCAATGCAGCTCTTTGCTGCTCTTCTGCTTCTTTAAAGAACAGTGACTTAAAGAGAAAAACTCTACCTATGGGGCAGCAAAAACACAGCCCAAAAACGCTGCTGTTCCCTCACCACTCTGCCTTTAGAGCTGGAAAAGTGGAATTCTGTCTCCATTTGGAACCAGGGCACGCTGACAGCACCAGTCCATCTCAACCTAATTTACCCTGGCCAGCCTTGTTTACTGTGCTCAGCTGCAGTTCAGCTTCTGGAAAGTGGTCTTGGCTTTGGAAAGGAAGCTGATGGACTGCAGGGAGCCTTAGCATGGGAAAATGGGACAAACTCTAATCTCCAACTTACCTGGAAACAACCATTTTAATGATAAAAAGGATTCACTACAGTTTATTTTTCCACTATTTTTCACAGTGCCACAAAACCAGAGCAAGGTGAGGTGATTGCACTGAAACGTGTGCTCTATTGTTACATAAACACTTCCATGAAATCATGCTGAATCACTGGCAGGACCTGGTGATCCAACTGTACATTAATTAGTGGCATTTAGTAGTAAACAACTCTGCTGCTAAATCAGGCCCAGAGCATGAAAAAATAGTTAGAGGCGGATGCAGCAGGATTCCAGAAAAGAAATTAAGTGGTGGATGTGAGCAAATTGCCACTGAGCACCCACAACCTGCAAAGGAACTGAGGCTGCATCCCTTCTGCTCTATTGTCTTGTTGTTCTATCGCTTCTCTCACGAAAAAGAAAGCAGAGCTTATCTCAGCAAAGAAAAAAATAAACCCAAATTGACTGGAATTACTTCCAGTACCACAGGAGCACCTTCTCACCTTGGTAAATACACTTCCACTTTCTGCTTCTTTACAGAATTGGCCCATTCGTTAATCAGGGAGGCTTTGACCAGTGGTTCCAGGGTGACCAGGGGAACCTCCTGCCTGGACAGGACGATCATCATACTGATCTCATCTCCCTCATAGGGGATCTCCAGAACCTGGTAGATGCCACCTGCTTCGTTGGAGCCATCACTGAACTCCCCTGTAACAAAAAAAAAAACGCCATTAGAAGGATTTTCTTTTGTCTTTACTGGAGACAGGGAAAAACAGAAACCTAATACTAAGCAGAATTTACTAAATACATTTAATAATAAGCATAAAAATGACCCTACTTATTCTGTATAAAATTTGTATTGGTTTCTCCATCACAGGATTTGAGGCTTACATTTGATTTCCTGAAGAACACAAGCTCGAGCAGTGACACAGTTAGGAGGTAATTGCACTTCTATGACCCAAATTCCACTGGTTAGACAGAGGAGACTAAAATTCAAGGCAGCCAAGACTTCCATGGAAATGGGCAGAGGTTTTTATTCAGGAGAGATAATTTTTCAGTGATGAGACTGAGTGAAATGCTGCCAATGAACACCACAGAACCCCTTTGGAGCTCAGTCTCAAGATATAAATGATCATTAGTTCTGCTGGTCAAAAAAACTCCCTATTTTACCTTTCCAAGGATATTAAAACAGTTATGAGCAAATATTATTCATTTTATTGTTTAGCACAGGACAAGAAAATATTTTTGTGATAACTGAGAATTGCAAAGAGGTTAATTATGAGAGATAAACATTCTGAAATTCACCATGTGGCACCAAACAGGTCATTAAAAATTGTTACCCAGTTATCACCTACACATTAGGGAAAGACACCAAAATCTGAGTCCCCTGATTGGGCAAAGAGCACATTAAAAATGCCAGGTGAAAGAAGAGACAACAGTTCAAATTAACATCACTGCAACAAACCCATTAAGCCAAGACTTACTGGCTTTAAATTGCCAAAGGTCCAACTCACCGTAGTAAAACTCTCCTTGTTGGTACATCATTGGAATTTGCACTTCACTTTCATCATCTTTAGTGAAAGAAAAAGTTCTTGTATTTTCAGGTCTGAACTGTGACTTCCAGTTGCCCTTAAAGTAGATTGCATTGATGAGAGCCAAATGAGTGAGAGCACCAAAATCTCCTGAAGACACAAAATCTTTGATCATACCTAAAAAGAAAGCCAACTGTCAGTCTGCGTGTCAAACTGAGCATTAAATCAAAACTTGAGACAGCTTGGAAAAATGCAAGAAAATAAAAAGCTGTGCTAACATGCAATTTCCAATTCAGATGTTTCATTAAATCTCAAATTAAGCTGCCAGTGTTTTGTAAACCTAAATCACAGTGTAGGTGCATAAACCCTTCCATCAAGCACAAGTTAGTCAACTTGTTTCTTGATCACTACTAAATATACCCCACAAGGAAACCACGTGGAAAAGGGTCACACCTGGAATGTTTACACTGGGGTTATGGAACCTTTCAGCATTTTCACCTCGAGGGCAGAATTTGTGCAAACTTTGGCTCCGCTCCAGAGATGCTCTGAAATGGGGGCTCGGTTTAAAGTGCACCCCCTGGGACCCCACCTGGGCCAGTTCTGAGGGAAGCTCTGCATTCCAGCAGTGTCCAACTGTCTCCAAAGCAAGGACTGACCATCAGAACACCCCATGAACTCGCAGCATTTGCTCCACTGGCAGCAGCTCTTGAGCAGCAAGAGGGAAAAGCCAACGGAGCACCCGCTCTGTTCATGGGAGGTTCAGCAGCTGAGCGGGGAGGTTGCTTTGCTCCCGCTCCTCCATCAGCCATTTACAGCACAATACACTTTGGTACCTGCTTCAGCTCATCTCAGATGGCTTGATTTCAGCAGAATCTTTTCCAGTTTGGTAAATTTGGTGCACTGACCAGGCTCTGCCACCTCTCTTGAAGAATGACAGCTTTTCCTGCTCACTTCTATTTTTAACTGACACTGCAATGCAAGGTGTCAAAATAAACACATCTCTCAGTCTGATTATTACTCCTTAATCCTTGATTTAAAAAACAAATTAATTCTGCTTTCTGGAGCACGTGATCCTGACTAACTGGTGTGAAATTTGTGTATCCCAGGGCAGGATTTCTTCCGGGTTGCTGTTTGTGCTCCATTTTATCCAGAATGTTCCAAGGAATGAGGTGTGACTGATACTGCCACACTCACTTGGAGATGGAAAAAAGAAAAAGGAAACATTAGGAAGGAAAACACTTCCAGGTTTCTGTTTCTGTTTGGTAAGTCATATTCCCTTATGTTTTTTCAGCCCCATCTCATTAACACACTAATGAAATGTGAAGCATTTTTTTCTGCCCAGAGAAACCTTTGACAGTTCTGGTTTCTGCTCTGAGTCTCCCATCAGGCTCATCCTGCTGGAACAGGAAACCTGCCTGTCCTGAACCCCTTTCCTAAGGAGAAAATGAGCTTCCTCCCCTGTCAGAGCTGGAGGCAGGAGGGGATGAGATGGAGTGGCCAGGGAGCAGCTGAGGGATTGTTACATCCCAACCCGGTGCCAGGAGCCCCCCAGTCTCTATCAGCCCTGCTTTTCCTTTTCCTGTTAAAATATCAACCCTCAGAGTAGGCCAGATGAACCAGAAGGAGCTGATGCTTTGATCCTTACAATGGGAGAATTAACTGCACTCTCTCACCTGGAGACTCTGCAGGTATCCAGGGAATGCTCCCCTTTGGGATCTGACAAGCCAAGCCAGCACTGCATCAAGCAGCTCTCAGTGTGCTTATTTACAGCAGCAATTTTGGGCTTAATCCCCTGCTGCAAATTTGTGTTGTGAAACTGTTGACAGTCTTCCTAAAATCATCTACTCTCTAAACACACTATCAATTCCTCCCATTGCAAAAAAATTCCATTACAGAGCCTGATTTTGTGCTTCAAAATTACCTTTTTATTCCCGAGTATTTCTCAGTGCCTCGTCACTGTGAATTCCTCAGAGCAGTGATACTACACACATCCAAAGCACAGCCCAGCAATTCCTTTGCAGACAAATTTTCTGCCATTGGCAATAATACTTGCCCTTTTTTTTAATATAATTTAATATCAAAATCAGTATTAAAATACTATTGAAATGTCTACTATTAAAACATTCGCGTTCAATAAATGTTAAAGGTACTTTAAGATGGTAAGACCAGAGGGGGAAAAAAAAAAAAATTCAAATAGATGCTACATGATCAACAATGACTAATATTACTTGTGACAGATCATTCCCACACAGGAAAAAAATAGAAATACTAGAACTGTTTCTGTGGGAGAAGAAACTTTAGTCTCAAACAGAAGAGAGAAAAGCCAAGGCAACAATTGGACAACACCGCAGAACTCTGGGAACAGGAACGCTTCCTGAAGGAAGAGCCCAAAAGAATCCCATGGACTTACTGTTCGTGTGATTCTCCACCCACTTGTTGATTTGGGCAGCAACTGCTGCACTTTGGCTGAAATCCACATTCTCCACTTGAGCCTTGAAGTATTTTTTGACCAACTGCAGGAATTTGTCGCTGACGTGGAAGCCGTTCTGCACGTACAGGGAGTTGGCGATATCCAGCACGTAGTGACTTTCCTCGGTGGTTGCCATGTCAGAAAGGTCCTTCAGGAAGGTAAATTCTTCACCTGAGGGAAGAAAAACAGCTTCAGTGGTTCAGAAAAGAAAGTTACTCCATGTTTTTTTCTGCTGAAAATTCACTAAGACATTTTATGCAAAAAAAAAAAAAAAAAAGTCACCTTTTTTAAAATAAACTGGTTTCTAGACCTACACACACCTTCAGATCTGAAGGAATATTTTACAAGAACATATTACTTGAAGCTTATTTTTATTACTAGCTATAATTAGCACAATTAATGAGACATTTGAATCCCATCAGAGACAAAGCTATCAATGGAAATCCTTTCAACACCATAAGAGCAATTAAAGAAATTATTACTGGTCACATTTGTATGTCTTGCCACCACAAATCCTCAACAGAACTTTTGTTCTATCTATCTATCTATCTATCTATCTATCTATCTATCTATCTATCTATCTATCTATCTATCCTAAAAGCCAGTTGTTTCAGGAAAAATGGATTTCAAATTTTGAAACTAAGGACTTCCCACAGAGTTCTCCATGCAAAAAGCAGGTCTAGAATATCCCAGGATCCTGTGTGGGGCAGGACAGAATCATCTGCTTGGGTAATGAGGAATCCTGAGCAGGACAGTTTAGGGAGCTTGTACTGCTCCATCATATACCTGGAGCTGAAATTTCCAATTTAAAAAAAACCCCCAACCAAACAAAGCTTAAAAACCTGATTGCAATGATTTATTCCAAGCAGGACTCATGGAGATGCTCTCACTGAATATCACTCAGCGAGAAGAGTGAATGGTCCAGCTCAAGGCAACTCAACTCCTTCAGCGACAGCTGAGGGATAATTGATTAATGTTTTAGAGACAAACTGGAGAATTAAATGTGTGCCTCCACAGACAGGCATCATCCCTGCAGTGGTTTTGTTAAGCACAGCTTGGTCACCGTGCTCAGAAATTCCTCCCCAGGATCCTTTCACTGAAGAATTGAAAGTCGAGCACTTGATATGAACAAGAAATTTCATTCAGGGTTCAAAATGGTTCCTTTGATACCAATATAAGCAATTTTGCTGAAACTGCTGCTTTCCTTTCAGGTTTCACTATTAATCCCTAAAAAGGATGTTCCTAAAAATCTTCTTATAGCCCTAGAGGCAAAGGCAAGCTTGTTCTGCAGAAAGCAAGATCAACAGCTGGCTGCAGTAGCTGAAGATTCAGGGTTGTGTGTCAGCAACTCTCAGCTCCTGCAGAACCCACTCAAACGTGTTCCAGCACGTCCAGACCATCAACAGGACACCAAGAAACCCAGTGATTAATAACCCACAGACACGACCAGGCCACCTGCATCCTTGTCCAGGCACTGCCACCTGTTGATTTAAAAAAGGAACCCGTGATTCAAGAGGCCTCACCATTTTTCAAGCTGTCAAACCCCAAGGAATGTCGAATCTCTTTCAAAGTGGTTCCATGGGCTCCCAGCTCCACCATTCCCATGGCCAGGGCAATGCTGAGAGGAGAGAAAAGGATGTTCTCATCTTCCCTGGTGGCTCTCAGCTGGTTGTAAATGTTCACAGAGAGCTCAGCAATGGTTTCATCGGGGAAATTGGTCTTGAAGGCTTCACTTTGCAACACAAGCAAAGACAACAGTCCGAGGAAATACATGACTTGAGATTTTAAGATCTGCAAGATAAATTTTAGAGAAAAGAAGTTAACTTTGTTGAAGTAAAATAAGATTCAACTTCAGTCTTAAATCTGTGGGGAAAAAAAAAAACACCAACTTGTTTAGAGCTCAATGCACAGTGCAGTTATTTTCAAACAAAAATAATCTACTTCAGTAGGTAAATGTACATTTCTGAAATCTTCCAGCCCCAGATTAACAAAACACTCATGGCCACTACAGGAAAAGACCCCAAAGAAAGCACCACCTTTCCTACTTCATGTTTGAATTCTGCTCTTGTGGTTCAGCAAGACTGATCCGGAATCTGTCTGTGCTTCTGTATTTTTTCACCAAGGAGACCCAAAAATCCACTGTTCCTTTCATTTGACCTTCCAGTAAGATCCAACTTATTCATCTAAGTCACTCCTAGTCCCCAAAAGGTAAAAATCTCTCACACAGTGTAAGAGAGCTCGCTGACACAGTGACAAAGTTACTGTACCGTGAGGTTGCTCCCTTACAGAACACGTGGCAAGCAGCCAAAACTTCTCTGAAAGAAAAAAAAATCAATCATTCCTTGGTTACCAAATCAAACTCCTTTTGTTGGTAAATAATGTGAAAAGTTGGGTAGCTGTGCTGGCCAGGAGTCAACACCCACTCAGAGATCTCCACAGGACAGTCACTGCACACAGCAGGCAGGAAGATTCACCCATCTGCAGGCAGCCAGCCCAAGTGCCTCTCCTTCTGCTTCCCAGCAATCCTGGGCCTGCCTTTCCACAGGGTTCTGTATCCACGGTGCAGAGCAAGCTTTATCCAACATTTATATTCCGCATTTCATCTTCACAGGCCCGTGTAGCAGCATCTAATTCACTCACACAACACAATGATCCATAATTTAAGTGTTATTACTCGCATTTTGTAGCTGAGAAAACACAGAGAACAAGAGGGTACACACACGTGCCTTGGCAGCCACCGGGGCTGGCACTGGTTACGATTCCTCCTGTCCCTCAGCCTCGGATTTGTTTAGTCCTGAGCTGAGAAAATTAAACAGATGAGCCAGTGCAGAGATCACACAGGATTTAGCGAAAAGGAGAGCCTTGACTGCCCCCTGCCCCTCCTGTCCTTTTTCCTGATTGTTTCCATACATGTAAGAAATATCCCCCTTTTCTCCATCTCCAATAAACTCTCCTCTGTGCCAGCATCGCTTCATCTCTCTGGGCTACCTGATCAACCTTCCTCTGATCCTTGGCAAGGTATCAGAAGTCTCCACTGAAGGATCTTGCTTAAGAAAAGGATTTTGTTTAAGAAAAGCCCAGACAAGCTATCCAAGCCTGAAGCACCAGGTTTGACACCTCCTGCTGACACATTCCACTCCCCTAACTCCCCAGCACTTCACTGCTGCCCAAAGGCAAACACTTCAGTCTGACCACCACTCGTTATTTCACAAAGACTCAGATTTTATAACCAAATCCATTCTCCACACACCACAAACTTCCCCAAGAACTGTTTTTCTTCATAGTAGTTCATTTTTTTTTTCTTTTAAAAAAACCCGTCCGTTTAGAAAGTATTGACTTTAGGATATGGAGGTTTCTGCTGCAGAAAATAACAGGATTTCTCTGAGATCGGGGGTATTCCAGATTCCTTTATTTTAAAAAACCCTCAACTCTCCAAATGTTACATAAGACTTCAGTCAGCACATCCCTGGGACACACTGAGCCCAGGTATTATTCTCTTATCCTAAAAGCTGCACAAGGCAAGAAAGGCTTAAAAGAACCCACGTCACGCAGGTCTGGAGCGGCATCAAAAACGGGGCTCGAGAAACAGATAAGCAGAAGCTCATCTTTCTTTGGCTGAGGATGAACTCAAATTTGGGGGCTCTCCCATCCTGAGCCATACAAACAAGTTGTGCAGCTCAACGTGGATGCTCAGAGAGCTCAGCTTTCCCCTCCTGGATCAAGAATTGTTTGAGCTCACTTTGAGACCTGACGCGGTTAAAACAGACATAAAATAATCTTCAATTTTAAAAAAAAATCAAATTCCCCAGTCTGTCAGTGCAGAGGCAGCTGCTCAGCCCTCCATCACCGATCCTTGTCCTGTGTGCTATTGCCAGGCAGACTTAAATAATTGCAGAGGGGGAAGTTTATACATCTTAATTAAAGTGCTTGATGTGCAGGTCAGACTGCCTGAATGCTAATAAAATGTTTGGTATTAAGACAATGCTAAAAACCTGAAATTATTTACAAATCAAAGTCGTATTTCTTCGTGACCACTCTGGAAAAGCTCTTTATGTGAAATAATTAAGTTCCAATACTTTTCATTATTTAGTTGGACAGAAAATGGGGTAAGTACATAGATGGAGACAAATACAATTTATACTGAAATGCACTTTACAAGACAAAGCACCAAATGTCTGTTTTTAAATACATGGCAAATCCCACTGATGGCAACACAAGAGGTGGAGCTGTGCAGACTTCAAGCTCCCAGTAAAACAAATTAAAGTCTAACAATCTCTATTCCCCCCCACTACCCCTTCCACATCACTTCTGTCTAGAGAAGTTTTCCAGTAGAATTCACTGAGAAGTTCCCCCATCCACATGTCCAGGGAAAAGGAAGGCAGCAGGGAGGCAGGAATGAGCAGCTGGGTGTAGGCAGAGGATGTGACCAGCTCTTTGGCTGGCACTGCCCTCCAAAGATATTTGGGAAAATACAAAAATAGACAATGAGCACAATGCAAGGGAAGGTGATTTAAAGCAAACTGAAGATGGTCAGCGGGTAAAAGGCTGTAAAACACCACGGATATCTGATCCATCCCTGCCAGCCAGGGTGGAAATGGTCTTATCCATCTAATCAAAGATGTCTGTGGTAAATTCCTCAGTTCAATTCTTCTCTCACTTCTAGTACATGAGTTCACTGTTCTGACAACGGGGAATCCAGCTCTTAATTGTCATTCCAGTCAGAGTAGTCCCTGCTTCCCTGATCCTGCCTCACTTCAGGCTCTATTATTTTTGGGTTTATGCCTCCTCATGCAGGGGGGCTGGATCCAACCAGCAGCTGAGCACTGAAGATGTGCAGCAAGTTCTCACACGTGTGTCCTGTAAGGGGCAGGGGCACCCTGGCCTGTCCCTGCAGCAGCCCCGAGAGCAGCTGGAAATCCACTGTGCCCCCCTCACAAACACCCTGCAAGGGAAGGCAGAGGAGCTGAACGTTACATAATGCACATCCAGAAAGTTAAAAGAGTTCCTGGGAGTACCATCAAACTTTTCACTCGGTCTTTTGTCCCCTCCTCAGACATCCCCAGCCCAGCCTGTCAGTGCTGATCTGCATCAGTGCAGTGCAGTTAAATAACACTGCAGCAGTGGCAGAGGAGTCAAAGTCCCCACTGAGCAATGTTTAAAAATCAAGAGCCATCAGTTCCAAACGGTACTGCGTGCACTTTGCATTTCTCAGCTCCATACAGGAATGAAAACAAGCTGTTAAAAATACCTTCACTCCTCAGTCACACAGGTGTTCATACCAACAATATGAATTTCTCATTTGAGGGTCGGTCTCGGACAGAGAGTTTTGTTTTATTTTATCGTGATGCACGAATACCTCTCTCCTACCAGGCAATCAACAAATCAGTGCAAATATACAAACACTCTCCTTGCAAAACAATTGTGCATCCCAATTGCTACAGAATTTTGTCAGACTATTAGTTTTGCTTTTGCTTGCAATTGCTCTCAGGGCAAAAAGGCAGCAGCAGAACACCAAACCACAGGATTCCAGATGTCCTTCAGCAGGTACTGGCATTGAGGTCACAACCAGTTCAATTCCCAGGGAACTTTTGCATCCAGAATTTCAGACAACTGCTGAAAAGTTGTCATCAGTCCTGCAAGTCAGCCCAGCACGTTTCCACAAGTGGTTACAAGCAGCTCAGTGTGAGGGCAGCATTCCTGTTCTCCTGCCCTCGGGCAGCCCAGCTGTGCTCCTGGGCACAAGGAACACCCGTTTTTTTGTAACGTTTGAAGAAAAACACTCGTATGATAAACACGGAACGGCTGCTTCTCTCCAGCTCCTGCCTCTCCCGAGCAGAAGGCTGGGATGACTAAGAGGAAGCAGAACAACATCGCCCCCTCACACCCACAGCGCCTCAACTGTTCGGTTCATCACATGTGCTCTCGGGGAGATGCACAAGGGGCCGGTGTTCTCTGTAAGACGAGATATTTTGGGAGGTATCATATCAACAAACTCCAACGGAGTTCACAGACACAAAGTACTGTGAAATTCGAAACAGCCAGAACTGGACTCAGCGTGGGAAGGTGCTAAAAATTCAATTAAGGGTTGCATTCTAGTACCTTGTACTTGTCAGACAGGTTGAAAAAAATGGGTTATAATTTCCTTGTCTTTAACACCTCTACAGACAGAGGGTTTTATAAAGAAACTCATTTATGGCTTTAAAAGCTTACAAAATAAAGCTGGGATATATATATTGCCTGAGTTCCTCAGTACACAGAGACTAAACTAAGATTAGTTGCCTCAAAGATCACTCCTGGCTACCTGCAAACTCAACCCCAATGGTGTGGGAAGCACAAATGAGAAAAACTGCTGATTCCTCATCAGTGTGTAGAAGAAAAGCTTGGGGAGAAAAGCAGGACTGATTACACTCTCTCCTGTAAAGAGCATCTGCAGCAACAGACAGAAGTCTGGCAGAACAATTTGATAAAGCAAGAGCTCAGTGTACTCAGGGAACAAGAGCTAATGGTCAGAGGAAAAAAAAAATATTTATGGATTCAGAGAAGAGCTGAGTGATTCTCCTTCCCCTCAGACCCAACCAAAGCTATCATGTCTGTGACAGATTAATTCTGGAAGAAGTTTGACACTGGTGAAATTCAGCCACTGCTGCTCTGCCCCTCAGTAAATATGACAATTGCTGCAGGTACCTTTACTCTGGGTGATTTCTGGTTGGCAATCATACCAAACAACACAGAATCAGACAGGGAGGGACCACCTAACCAGTAACAACAGTTTAGAAAACGAACACAAGTCT